AAATCGGTTCTTGGACATGCGAGTCTTCTCCTGCATAGAAAAATTTCGTTTCGCTTGTCTTATTGTTGTGCATCGCAAGACCATTTAGTCCCTGGTATATATTACTCTTTGCATCACTTTGTTCTGGAATGAAAACATCTAAGAACACCCATTCATATTCCTTCGTCATGAATCTCTCGTCAATTCTCGGAAATTCACATGGAATGTCCAAAACTACCAGTGGATCCTGTATCTTGGTGCCACTCGGTTGACTCAAATCAAATTCCCAACGTGCGAAATCACCTTTCGTATCCGGATTCGGCATTCGTCCATCATCGGGTGGAAAGAATGGAAAGGCATTATCGTGCACTCTCGAACTTTCCATGTATAATTTCCCATCCTTTCCTTCCCAGGCTCCAGCTGTATGAACTGGCATACAGTTGTTCCACTCATAATATCTCCATTCTCCTTCCCCCCATCCATCCGGCAATGGTGTCGACTTTCTCCTAGGGACCACAATGAACGTAGCAGGTTTTTCATAATCCCATGCCCAATGCTGGCCCCCTTTCTTCATTCTCTCAATGTCCGCTTCGAAGCACCAACATACCAGTATTAACCAATTCTCCGTAATGGCACAATCATGAATAAATGCACACCACGGACTCTTTACCCACAATTCTTCCACCTTTTTCCCTTGCGCATCGAGCGTATATGTAACTACATCCAGCGTGGCCAACCCCTTTGCCTCGTACCCAAATACAACAAGTTCATTCGTAAATGGATCAACCTTCGGATGGGCCGTAAAAGTCTTCGACTTCACTCCCTCAGAGGCAAAAGGATCGTATCCCAAAGTCTCCAACGTATCGCCATCAACTTCATATGGCAACCCCACTTCCTTCAACGCCAACAACTTGTCAGCCCACACGACTAAATTCGTGTTTGCTGTACTATCTACCGCAGCTCGTACACACGGATGGTGTGTATATGGATTTCGATATAATCCAAATAAAGCCTTGTTAGCCTGTCGTTCGAGTTTGTACCGTTCGGTCTCGATATACCGCATTTTCATATCGACGATACCGTTGTGGAAACGAAAGGCGGAGATATTGCCGTCGCCATCGATGGGTACATTTTGTGGGTGGGGTGGAACGAAAGGGTCGCACATGACACGATAAAATGTTCCATTTATCTCTGAGGGGATAGACCCAAGGACTACGAGATTGGCAACTTCACCTTCGAGACGGCAGGGGAGGTTGGAGCCTGCGAGGTCAATTGCGGTGGGCCATCTAGAGGTGAGATTCTGAGGATTTCGGCTGTCATGAGTGGCGGGAGTGTGGGTTGTTGTGGGCAGGGCAACTTTTGAAGGAGGAGGAATGTCGGGAGCATCAAGGGAGAGAATTTTTGTGGATGACGGTGGGTCGTTTAGTATCGCCATTGTTTATGAGGTAATATTTATAGCAATGAGTGAACTGGCCGCTGATGATAAGAACAATGGGATAGGTAGTGCAGTGAATTGAAGTGTTTATATACTACAAACATAACGCACCCTGGGCATCAGCAGATATCATGACCCCAGACGGACTTTTCCCTCACTGCATGATTTTATCAATAAACCATATCATCCATGTAGTCTTACATCTCCAGATCAAGCGAGTGTTACACGCACCACTGATAGTGGTTCCACAGTCCGGCATCCCCATATATTTTAGGGAAAGATAAAGTCCGTAATTGCCGTGAAACTTCACCCCCACCAAAAGTCCCAGAAGTGTTCTTGGCCTTCTCCCCCAAGCTAGCTCCAGTAGCTAACAGTAGCTGCCGAAGGGGGTTATATGTGGGTAAATGGCTTTTCAGATGACAGACATCATGCTGCTAGACCTCAAAGGGTTCGAGACTGCACCGGGAACATCCCTCCTTACCCCATAGTTGTCGAGGGATATTTTCTAACCGAGTCTTCTGTCCATGGGTAACGCGATTGATGCATACTCGTGCTGCCAGAAAGTATGCAACTCCGACGCTAGATGCACATACCACAAGATGGTAAACTACAAGAGGACTAACCTGGTTTTCATAGCGCCGGAGTTGCATACTTTCTGGCAGCACGAGTATATAGCGTGTTATTATTGACTCTCTTGATGAATTTGCATTGAAAGTATTTCATTCATCCGGTATGCAATTGGTCAATGCTTTGGAAGAGGAGCAATATTCTGGCGAATCCTTGCATTGGATTTGGTAATAGTCGGCACCGCACCGTTCCGGTACAAAGTGCCAGTCAGCATTGAGGTTCAAAGAAGAACGATTTGCAGCACGCAAGTGGATTCTCTTGAGTTGACACAACACGTGGAGAGCTTAAACTAGCTAGACGTTATGAATGTTCTTGGAAATATCCCTAAGTTTGAGCCCCTGGAAGTTGATAACCGGGAATTTCCCACCTGAATGTGGGGGTTTACCGCTCGGCTATCGTACCTGCAAATATTTTGCTCGAAGTGTTCAAAGATGATTGCACACTACACGTAACTCATCATTCTATTGGGTAGCCCGAAGATTTGACTTGCTCAGGATTCTTTCTTCGCGATTGGAGATTAATCAAATTTGATATAATAGTGTGGCGTGGTATCAGCGGTACGAAAAAGCGAAAAAGTCATGACACCCGAAAAGTTCGAATTATTACTGATTAAACATGTTTGTGGGGCTTTGAGTCCATCATACACTTGATGTTTTCTACATTTGAATACAAACTTATATCATCATGAAATGTTGAAATACAAGTATCTTCAATCATAGTTTTATTGACCCACTGGACATTGATACTTCGAATCACTGTACTCGAAGTGCGAGTTTCCGAACTATGCAATGGTCAATCTGTCAAGCTTCGAACGAAGATTCTGCGATATATTTTCCATGCGGAAGCCTCTGTCATGAATGAAGGAACAAGCTTCTTTCCTGCTCCGTACTTTTTAAAGATATTCTGTACACGGAATAATCATAGGTTACGATCTTGCTCGGTATCTATAGTCGACATGGGGAAGGAACGACATTCACCAAGGACCTCATTGAAGTAGGGGATTGGAAGTGACGATATGATATTCCAAAACAATCAAGTGGTTGTGAATCCTTCCTCTTCCTCTTAATTCATCTTTATTCATCAAGTGTTTCAAAAGACGTTGCAATCATGCGAGGAGCTGCAAGATGCATCAATAGGTATCCCTATCTAACCATTCTTCTTATCTTCTCAATTTGCTTCTATATCTTCTTTGTCAGTTCTTATGATTCCCCAGTCCATATCATCCTGGAGAAAATTCCCAAGCTTCGTTCTTCCAAAGCAACGGAAGATGTTTTCAATTTCCTTCGCCTCGATTCCGCAGCCCTTCGAGCTTTATGCGAAAAGACAGAATGGAATCCAGCCAAAGTTATATTCACATGCGATAATTCCATCGGCGGTGTTGGGGACATACGAAACTCGATACTGAACTGTGTACGGTATGCAATATCCGCGGGCGCCGGTCTAGTGATCCCTCGAATTATTCTCCGAAACCCGGATGATATCTCACAGATTCGAACCGGTGAAAGAGTTAGTATGGCCTACATGTTTGACTATTTTCATTTTGTCGAGTCGCTCAGGTATTCTTGTCCACAAATGGTCATATATCCATACATAGGTGATGTTCCAAATTCAAACGAGGGAAGAGGTCCTATCACACTATTGCCAGAAAGTTTGTTCTCTTCTCCAATTCCGAAAACAGGCTTAGAACATCCGGAAAAGTGGAGAGAATTATTTGAGGGATGGTTGGATGGATATTACCAGTTCGCGACGAATCAGACAATGAATATGCCGGTAACGGTTGAGCTTGGGAGATCGTATTTGCAATATCCGATATATTCTGACGGGGAGGAATTTGCACTTTCTTTTGGTGGGATATTGAAGTTCCGCAAAAATTTGAGGATTCTTGCGACCACTGTTTTGCAGAATATGTTATCCACATATAACGTGTCTGGAGATCTTTCGCAGCCATTTCTCCCTGACACATTTTTCGGTGCACATCTCAGGTCAGAGATAGACCCTACGAAATCTTTGCCGGCCGAGGATTGGTTTTATCAGCGTTATGAATTCCAGTCGATACAATACCTGAAGAAATTGGCCTCTACAAACCTCACTCTAGTTTATGTAGCATCAGGTAACGAAACCGAGACCGCCCAGTTCTCGCGAGACGCAGCTGCATACAGTGTCACTACGAAATGGATGCTACTCGATGCTAAGGACAGGGAACTATTGAGCAAGTTATCATGGGATCAACAGGCGATAGTCGATTTTCTCGTCTTGACGAAAAGCTCCAAGTTCGTCGGGATAGGCCATTCGAGTTTTACGTGGAATATTGCGTTGCAGAGACATCGATTTTTGAAGAATGAGAAAGACTACTTGGACGGGCCGGAGTTGTTAAGTGATGATTTGAGTACGGTGTTTGGGAAGCCAGGTGCGCATCCTGAATACGCAGCTTGTTTGTGGCCTTGATTATGCGGATATTGATTAGGAGTTGCGAAAAGAAATGTGATATTGCTTAGCGTTAAGTTTGGTATGAACAGACAATTATTAATTTTGTTTTCTTGACTCGGAGTACCCATACATGTAGCGTTAGAGAATCAACAAGGCAGTAAAATTAATGGTCTATAGACTTAAAGCGGTACGGATTCAATGTAACAATAGACATAAGTCGTTGGATTATAGGAATTACACAAGTACACGGTATAAAAATGCAAGTATGGCAAAATCGTAATATTATGAGCTAGGACATGCGAAGCTATCGAGATGCCTATGTAAGTACAATGAGTGTAACGGTCGCTAATCGCCTATTTCATTATTCCCTATCCATTCTTTCCGTCTGTGAAACTTCAGTTCCGGCATTAATCCTCCACTGCCTATTCAAAAATCCAAAGATGTGAAATTTAACGAGTGTGAATTGCGCATGGTGCACATATTAAGAGATATTATGTTGTTAACGTGAGATAACATGCAAGGTACGAGTCGTTTAATGGCCATTGGAAGAGTTGGTAGCGGCGGCCTGGGGACGGGAGACGCCTGTAGCTCTTCGATCCTCTGCTATTTGTCTCCAGATAGCTTTAGACCAAATCGCCCAGTTATTGAATTTCTCAGGTTCGACGCCATCGTTGACCTCAACCTTGTCATGGATAGTTGGCCATTGATTTTGAAATCCCTTGGTAAGGACATTCATGGTCTCTTCCGGTGCTTTTCTTTGCCAGTCTCTTTGAAGTTTCTGTTCCTCGGTGGTGATTTGCCTATTGAAGCCGCAATAATGGTTGCGGGTGACCCAGTAACTTTTGCCGTCTTGATTAAAAGGCACCAGGTACCACCAGTGGGCTGGATTTCCAGTGGGAAATGTTTCTCGTGTAAAATTATTCATGTTCTTCGATCTTTTTCGAACTAAGTACTTGCTTCGTTAGGATCTCAGTATTGCTATCAAACTATGTGTGAGGTATTGACGATGCTTACCTTTGATTGAGACGGAGGCTGTGTGTGATACGTGCGGAGATGTGTAAAGATGATTTTATTTGTGTAGATGTGGATGAAGGTGCGCAGATAATGCAGGTGGATAGAGAGTATGAAGAAGTTGATAGAAGCAGGGTATTCTTGCGAGAAAATTTGTGTTTGAAGTGGGAGAAATGTATTTTTGTTGGTTGAAGGTATGTTTTGGGTTTCGTGATTGAGATGTTGTTGGTTGATGAAGAGAAAAGAAAAAGAGAAAACCAGAGAAGAAAAGCCGATCAATTTGAGCACAAATAATGAGGCTCTCAAGGCATCAATTTTCAAAATGAATTACCATTTGGTAGTCATTTCAAGATTATAGATACCAAATAATGCTGTGCATTCTATGAATATTACAACTTGAGGAGAAAATGGAGTCATTTGATCGATTTGTGACTTAAACCTCACTTCTCATGATTCAGAATACTGAAAAGTATATTTTGGACTCATACAAATATCTACCACTGACCAATAAGGCTTCTCATACATCATAATGGTGAGTAAATTCCAAGATGAGAGTCATTCAGAAGGGAAAATGTGTTGAATAAAACAGAAAATTCATTGAATGGTATGATTTGAGCGGACAATGTGATTATTTGGTGACTGGTATGTTGAAATGATGATTCGAAAAGTGATGAGGGGTAGGTGTTGGAGTCATATAAGACTTGAACAGTCATGTAACAGGTTTCTTAGCCATCGATTCCTAGATGGTAGTCATTCTGGAAGTTAGATTCATAAAATATGACTTCGTACTAAATGAATACTGCGATGTGGGCAGAGACCAGAGTCACCGACGGGTATCCAATTATCGTTATTTCGAGCAAATGAGTCGAAACCCGATAATTGACCAAATGCGGATTTATACCTCTCAATCATTTTTGGAACAAGAATTTACAGACAATTTACGGAGAAAGTGACAGTCATCACTTAGTTTCTAACAATTCAGAACGTTGGGGTCGGGTATTTTCAGAGCTTGGTCAACATCTTCACAGTGGAGAATATAACAAGGAGTTTCACTGCAAATTGATTAAGCATGAGAGGATAGTTAAATTATAATCATTAATTGGTGATGGTTTTAGGGGTGCATCTTCAAAACCAATTGTAGGAAGAAATTTGAATGCTCTCCAAACTAATCGGTAGGGACAAATGAAAGCGAAGACTTTACAACTTCACTTCCTACATAGGAAAATGATGGGAAGTCCCTTGATAACATTTGAATATGATAGCAATGAGACCTTATACCGCAAAGAATATAGTCTAGAGTGCATCTCATCGAACATGATATAAGTCTGCCGTATATAGCGCTTGAAGATTGAACATTTGGATCTGCAATGCATCATATTCAATGTTGTTTGTGTCAACCATCGTAATGAAAACAAGACAACACAAACTCTTAGCACTAAGAAGTTTGGTTTCGTACGGATTATGAGGGCTTCCAGAGAATGATCCGCGAAGATTTGATGGAATCACCGAGAAAGAAGGGTATTTTGTCTTCTCAACAGCCGTGTCAAACACACGGACGGTAAATTTTTTGAATATTTCAATAATGATTTGATGATCAATATGGGATTCAAATAAAGATCTGGCAAACTCGCCAGATGCTTCAACAGTAACAGACATTCCGGACTTTAAGATACGGCAAATAAAGGAGATCCATACCCATTTGGCGATCAATGGGGCCGACTCTTGGATTGTCTGTATCTTTCGTGGAGAGCAAGATGATGTAATGGATGAGACTCAGGCACACTTTGATGTGGCCCCGAACCGCTGGATAAAGGAAAGGAACATAAGCTTGACTGTGCCATTGAAGGGTCAACAGCGGAAGCACGAGAAAAGTACACGTGAATCGTATGGAGGGTTCTTGGACAGACAGACGCCTCGAAAAGAGAGTAGAAACGATAGCAAAGAAAGCTCAACGAGTGAATCGGAAAGACGAGGCAAAAGGATTGATGATTACCAGTACTACTGGTCATGATATCGTATGGTGTGAGGTAGAGACCATTGTGATAAAGTCTATGCTATTTCAGGAAATGGAGTCAGAGTAACAAAAGCTTAGAGAGAAAACTGCTGAAGTTATTTGAAATGACATCTTCAATATAAATATTGTATGAAGTTGTTGAGAAACGACGGTGTCCACGTTTGTGAAGGACCTAGAAACGAGGTCACCTGCAGCTCTAGTAACCTTGGAAGTGGCTGATAATTAGTCCGAAGTGCTTCTGTGGCTGGAGGTTACCTACATGGCCACCCGTGGACCCCCCGTGGACCTCGATGGATTACAAGGTTGTCCACGGGTCTCGTTGTCCAGGTCCAGGTGAGGTGCTGTGGCGGACGGTGTTGATGATACTCCGAACTCCGAGCCAGTTTGCCGAGATACCGATATCGATATCGATCTCGGTTAGAATGATCAAGATTAACATTATTTGATTGGACAATAATACGAGTAAATTATATTTCTTTTTTTCTTCTCCCAATTTTCTACTCGAGTAGTTTTTAACTTTCCAAGCGTGCAGGTATCTGGGCAATATTTACGAAGTTCTAACTTCTTACATTTTTATCACTCTCGTTCCTACCACTACTCCGTGTTTTTTTGTTTGGATTTTTCCGCATGTTCTCCGTCCTTTACTCTCCTTCCATATTTGACAATTCTATGACTGGAGCTTTCAACATCGCCATGCGAATTCTCGATGGAGATCCTGTTTCGTAATCGGTTTCGTAATCGGTTTCGGTTCTTCATATATCGACACGGCCTGATCTGATCTACCTGGTCTATTCTATGTGTCTATGTGTCTACGGTATGTGTCTATGTGTCCATCTGTCTAATCTCTCTTCTCTACACTCTTCTACCTTTCGTGTTTCAATCTATCTCTTCTGTATATAACGATTTTGTAATCCTTTTTGTGTTTTAACATTCTATACAAGAATTCAACTTCATCTACCAAATCCTCATTCATTAATATCTAATCGTCATCGTGTCTACCTTTAGCCGTGATATTTGCCTGCATCTCCTTCAACACAGCCTTCTCTCATTCTTGCTTGGCCTCTTGGACCCCTTGGCCTTGACACAACGATTGATCACACAGTACAAGGACGCCTACACTCTTTTGTCAGTGATGATATAAAGTCGACTTCTCCGACCATTACCCTTAATATAATACAGTTCAAGTTCAATATACCCCGTCGACGATCGCCACACACAGTCAGGCATGCGCTCGAGTATATCCATCTAATTCCTCAACGAAAAGGCCCTAGTCGCTATCATGGGATTACTCCGCCAAGTCAGAACTTTGACTGGCAAGAATCTCCTTATTACGGTCAACCGACATGCCTTTAGCACATCCATACGCACCTTTATCCTACCAGTGGCCTTGATCGTATTTCTTAGTTATGCCAGGAATTTATTCATACCACCTTCAACTTACGGGATTGGCTCTAGCCAGCCCATTCGATCATTAGAAGAAGGGCTCCGAGCCGCGACAGGTGGACGAAATACTTTGGCATTTGTTAACAATGGTCTAATAGGAGGAGATGTTGATGCTGTTATTGCTGATTTAACTTCGCAGGCTGAAGTTGCTGGGGCAAAGGTGAAACGTTTGACGACGGAGGCTGAACTACTGGATATCTGCAAAAGTACTCTAAGGGGGGCAACATCTTGTTACGGTGCCATTGTTTTCAATTCTTCGCCTTCGGAAGGAACAGGAGGAATATGGAACTATACCATGCGAGCAGATGGCGCATTCGGCACGAAGATTGATGTTACAACAAACAAAAACGATGCCGAACTCTTCCTTTTGCCACTGCAGCGTGCTGTTGATTATGCCATCGCTTCGAGAAATACAACAATCGATCAGAATGCGTTGCCCACTACCGTCAACGAATATCCGTATACTAGCCAGACTCAAAAGCAACGCGAAACTGCAATTCGGACGAATTACCAAACTGCCATCATCAACATTCTTGGAGTCGCTTTCTTGATTGGCATGGTTGGCGTTACATATCATTTGACTGGCTTCATTGCTTCTGAGCGGGAGCTTGGAATGTCACAACTTCTAGAAGCTATGATGCCGAATCTACGACGATGGGAACCTCAAGTAGCCAGGATACTTTCATATCATCTAGCCTTTGATATCATCTACATACCAGGATGGATCGTCATGGGTGTCGTTTTGGGAGTAGGAGTCTTTGCCCAAACCTCCATGGCCATTGTGATCATATTTCATGTTCTGGCCGGCTTGTCCTTAACATCATTCTCTATCCTTGGTGCTGCCTTTTTCAAGAAAGCTCAGCTTAGTGGAATTACTCTTGCAATTGTCACACTCCTACTTGGTGTCGTAACTCAAGTCATAGACAAGACAAACTCGGGTACTGTGGCAATCTTGAGTTTACTTTTCGCTCCATGTAATTATGTGTTTTTCCTTGTTTTCATGGCTCGATTTGAAAGGCAAAATATCGGCACCAACCTTGTACAAGCTGCGCCAAACAATCCATGGTCACTGCCGGGAATTGCGCTATGGGTATTCTTAATCATTCAAATTTTTGTTTATCCAATCCTTGGGGCTTTGGTCGAACGTTCCCTTTTCGGAACAACTTCCAAGGGTCGTTCAGTTGTTGGCCAAGGCTCTGAAAAGCATGCACAATCACTTGGGTCTAACACATTGGAAACCGTTCGATTGGAGAACTTCACAAAACATTACCGACCCAATTGGTTTCGAATGAAGACAGCTGGATTTACCAAGATCCCCACAGCTACTGTCGTCGCTGTCAATGATTTGAGTTTGTCCGCAAGTAAGGGTCAAATTCTTGTCCTTCTAGGTGCCAACGGATCTGGGAAGAGTACCACCTTGGATGCAATCGCAGGATTGAATACCGTTACTAGTGGAAGCATCACAGTTGACGGTACAGGAGGATTAGGTATTGCTCCGCAGAAGAATGTGCTATGGAATGAACTTACAGTAGAGGAGCATATTCGTATCTTCAATAGCCTCAAATCCACAGGACCTCGGGACAGCAAAGTAGCTCTCAAAGAGTTGATCAAAGCGATAGACTTGGACCGAAAGATCGGCGCAAAATCGAAAACTCTATCTGGTGGTCAAAAGCGTAAACTTCAATTAGGAATGATGTTTACTGGTGGAAGTTCGGTATGTTGTGTGGACGAAGTAAGTAGTGGGTTGGATCCTTTAAGCAGAAGAAAGATCTGGGATATTCTTCTGGCCGAAAGAGGTTCACGAACTATTATTTTGACGACACATTTCCTTGATGAGGCAGATCTTCTCGCCGACCGGATCGCAATATTGTCAAAAGGCACACTTCGAGCGGAAGGTTCTTCTGTGGAATTGAAGGAGAAGTTAGGTGGCGGTTATCGCATCAATGTTCCAACTGGTCACGAACATAAAGAGCCTCCTCAGGTTGAGGGCATAAAGCAGCACGTGTCGTTCGGCCAAACGACCTATGTAGCACCAACCTCCAAGCAAGCCGCTCAGATCATTAAGCGTCTCGAGGAAGATGACATCACAGATTATCAATTATCCGGACCAACGATTGAAGATGTATTTTTACAATTAGCCGACGAGATTCGTGCCGAAAGCGACGAAAGTCTACTCATCCAAAATTTATCATCTGACAATGAGCAATCTGGAAAAGAAAAGGATACTGTTACCAAACTCGCAATGATTGGTACCCACGAGCGTCAAGAGTTGGAGCTACATACCGGTCAAAATATTGGGTTCTTCCGGCAAGCCTGGGTTCTATTCAGAAAAAGACTGACTGTTCTTCGACGAAATTACCTGCCTTACATTGCAGCTCTCCTTGTACCGATTATTGCAGCTGGTCTCGTAACTCTTTTCCTGAAAGGGTATAATGGTGCCGGTTGTACTCCAACCGACAGAGTTTCTACATCTGATTCGGAAAATCTCTTCAGTGTTGAGAAGTATGATGTTGTTATCGGGCCGTCCTCAAGGTTTTCAACAGAAGTACTTACTTCTTTGTTTGAACCCTTATTGTTTGGATTGTTTCCTACGCCAGATGAAATCCAAAGTCACACTCATAGAGTTGACACATTGACTCAATTCAACAGCTACATTGATCAAAATTTCGCCAATGTCACTCCATCAGGATTCTTCCTTGATAACGGTGGTACACAAACCACACTCGCGTATAAAGGCAACGGTCAGATTTTCAATGCTGTATGGGGTCAAAATGTCATGGACATTATGCTCACTAACATATCCATTGCCACACAATATTCTGAATTTGATATCCCATGGGCACCCTCAACCGGTAAATCATTACAACTTGTTGTCTATTTTGGTCTTGCAATGTCCGCTTATCCAGGATTCTTCTCATTGTACCCTACTGTCGAAAGAACCAGGAATATTCGAAGTCTTCAGTATTCCAATGGTGTTCGGTCATTACCATTATGGCTTTCGTACGTTGCTTTTGATCTCATACTCGTTCTCATCTCGAGTGCTTTGAGTGTCATAATCTTTGCAGCTGCATCTTCGGTTTGGTATCATGTCGGCTATTTATTTATCATATTCGTTCTGTTCGGTCTGGCATCGATCTTGCTTTCATACGTGGTGTCACTTTTTGCCAGCACGCAACTTTCAGCATTTGCATTCGCAGCTGCTGGGCAAGCGGTCATGTTCCTAATCTATCTAGTTGGATACTTGTGCACTTTGACCTATGCTCCAATTAACAAGATAGATTCAACGCTTCTCGTTGTTCATTTCGTCATCAGTGTTTTCACACCAATGGGAAGTCTTATCCGAGCAATGTTCATCGCATTGAATCTGTTTTCTACCACTTGCTCTGGCGAAGAATTGGCACCTAACCCTGGAGGAATACTGCAATATGGTGGACCGATCTTATATTTGATCCTCCAGATAATTGCACTCTTCGCAATTCTGATCTGGTATGATAGTGGCTCTGTAGTTGCTTGGTTCCGAAGGCATCGCAAGTCACCTAACGCAGTAACTGACAATGAAATTCCTGCGGATGAAGAAATTGCTGATGAACTCGTACGAGTCAACTCATCAAATGACGGTCTTCGAATTCTCCATCTAACCAAGAGTTTTGGATCTGTAACTGCAGTTGAGAATATAACATTCGGAATAAAGCGTGGCGAAGTTTTCGCCCTTCTCGGGCCAAACGGTGCAGGAAAGTCAACTACTATATCATTGATCCGTGGTGATATCCAACCAAGCAAAAATGGAGGAAACGTTTTCGTGGAGAACATTGAAATCAACAGACATCGTGCTGATGCAAGAGCTCATCTGGGAGTTTGTCCTCAATTCGATGCTATGGATCAAATGACCGTTTTGGAGCACCTTGCCTTTTATGCACGCGTAAGAGGTGTTCCAGACGTCGAATATAATGTTCAAGCTGTCTTAACCGCTGTTGGTCTGCAAGCATTTGCTTCTCGTATGGCAGCCAAACTTTCCGGTGGAAACAAACGAAAGCTATCACTCGGAATCGCTTTGATTGGTAATCCAACAGTGCTACTCCTCGACGAGCCATCCTCCGGTATGGATGCTGCTGCAAAGAGAGTCATGTGGAAAACCCTTGCTTCAGTCGTTCCAGGCCGTTCACTCTTACTCACAACTCACAGTATGGAAGAAGCTGATGCATTAGCTGACCGTGCAGGTATCATGGCTAAAAGAATGTTGGCAATGGGTACTTCAGATCGGCTGAGAAGTAAATTCGGTGGTTCTTATTATGTTCATTTGGTTCTTAAAAGTGCACCACATACCACCGATGATGAGATTTCGACTTTGAAAGCTTGGATCAACGATAACTTCCGAAATGCAGTCATTGAAGATAAAACTTTCCATGGTCAAATGCGATTCTCAGTTCCTGTGTCTAGCTATTCTTCAAAGCAATCTGAGATGAAAATGGATGGCGAATTAGACGAAGACGAGATCTACAGTACTGGAACTAGTATCGATGAACCAAAGTTAAGAGACTCGGGGATAGGATCATTAATTATGAAATTAGAAGATCAGAGGGAAGAACTTGGATTGGAGTACTATTCAGTTAGTCCAACAACATTGGATCAGGTTTTCTTAACAATTGTCGAGAAACATAATGTGGAGGAGGAGAATTATGCTGCGCCAAAGGAGAAGAAGACTCTGGGGGGATTAATAAGGAGGAGGAAGAAGGAGTGATGGAGGACGAGAGAGAGGGTCCAACGATGATATTATGGCTGCTGCCTTTCATTGAGAGAAGACGGGGAATGGGCTAGACGATAAATATACCATATGATACCATAATATACGGGATATGATTGTATGGAATAGAGTTCACCAGTTTTGTATATAGAGATATTGATTAATGATTAACTACTAAATGATTTGCATTCGTTCAGCTCAGATTAATCAGATGGTGTTTCATTCCAGTGTAAGCAGGATATCTATCAACATTAGCCACCTTTATAATTGTCATTTTGCATGCACATCCAAATTCAAAACAAGGGACGGACGGTCTGTGAGACGATTCAAACAACAATTCTTCTACAAGTTTTACTTCACCGGTCCCCGAAAACGAACGACAACAGCATTCAAAAATCTTCTCTGCGCTTCAAAACCAAGTACTCTTACCCTCATTTTCCATCCTCACCTCCCTCGCTTCCCTCCTTAAACTTAAACTCAAACTTAAACTCAAACTTAAACAACACCCTTCGCCCACTTTCGAACATCCACCCCAGCGAAATTTGTCTTCGCTTTCCCAATGGCTTCGCCGCCTTCGATTCTGAAACTTTCGGGCGGTCCGAGGTAGCTTTGGCGTATGCCGCCGAGGTCGATGATTACTATTGGGGGGGGAGGGGAGTTAGTGTGTTGTGTTGCGAGGAGTGTTTAGGTGGTGGGGAGTGTTTAGGTGGCGGGGAAAGAGGGAAAGAGGGAAAGAGGGAAAGAGGGAAAGAGGGAAAGAGGGAAAGAGGGAAAGAGGGAAAGAGGGAAAGAGGGAAAGAGGGAAAGAGGGAAAGAGGGAAAGAGGGAAAGAGGGAAAGAGGGAAAGAGGGAAAGAGGGAAAGAGGGAAAGAGGGAAAAGAAAAATCACTCACCCTTCTGAAAAACAACACCCGGTTCAATCGCCCAAATCTTCAGCGTATGCGCCCCCGCAACCTTCAACGCCGTATGTCTCGTCGTCGTCGTATTCCCACTACTCTGTCCCCAGACATTATCCACCACCGCGCCCGCCCATCCGACGGGGAAAATCGCCGTCGACACGCTCGAGGGCACGAATTGGATTATCTGGGGTGTTTCGTCGTCGAGGGCGATGGCGTATTTGAGGGTTCTTTCTCGGCCGTTTTGGTTGAGGGAGGGGGAGATGAAGAGGGTTATGTTTGCGAGGGGGACGGGGGTGAAGGTGTACAGGTTGTAGAGGAGGACGGGGCCGTGCGTGGTGTTTTGGGTGGGAGCTAAGACGGGGGAGAGCGTTACGCCGGAGGAGGTGCGGCCGAGACCTGGGAGGGTGATGTAGGAGACGCCGTTTACGGAGGTGGAGGAGGAGGTGTGGTCTGCTTCGATGGCGATGTGGCGGTCGGATTCGACGAAGCCGGTGGTGAAATTTGAGGGGGTGAGAGTGTTGTTTACGGGGAGGAGGACAGAGGGAGGGCCGTAGTTTCCCCATTGTCCGGATTCGCAGGAGGAGGTTATGAGGAGGGTTGCGATGGTACTGTTCGGGGCTGGAGGCGCGGATGCCCAGTCGATGGAGACGTAGACGCGGGTGTCGGTGCCGTTTGAGCCGCCGGTTGTACCGGAAGTTGGGGAGAGATGAACATATGGTTGAGAGGCGTTGATGGTCCAGCTGCAACCGAGGAGTCCGCGAGCGAAGATATCAATGTAACGAGTTTGTGGTCCGTACGGGTCCATGGGAGGTAAAGTCAATACTTCTGAGGATAGCGTGTGATAATTGTCGTCTCCTGATACTGTGGCATTTGATCCTTCGATTCCGACGCCGATGTTTCCCGCGACTGAAGTTTCGAGAGCTTGGACATAGGACATTGGAGGGAGAGCATTACGCATTGGTTGTTGCCAATAATCGTATCCAAGATGGGTTTCTATGTAATTGTAAGTATGCTACTATGATGAATTGAGAAGAAAAGAGACTTACGATCAAGAAAATGATTCCACTTTCCATCAAGCAAATTATGATATCTCTGCGTCAAATTATGATCCATCTTAAAAGCCTCCAATACCTCTTGGAAGACCTCATTGGCAGCATTCCTCTTCTGTTGTGTGTAATGCGCATTTTTACCCGCACCAATATGTATCTGATTGACAACCTGTCCTCCCAGTACTGGCTGTAAAATCATCTCATAATAAGCTGGTTTCCAATCATCTCCCAATTTATCATAAACTGCTTGAGCTTCTTGAGCTAATTCATCCCATTGTGCAAGAATAGCGTCAGCTTCGTTGTAGTTGATTACAGAATAAACTGTCATATCGATGTTTTCGTACTTTCGTCTCGCAGCCAACATACCATATGTGTCCATAATACTTGAAATATTGGAAGCGTACTCAGGGCCAAATTCTCGAGTTGCCCATAAGTTGAGCCATGTGGGGACGGAATCGTAACCCCATTGAGGTGTATTGTAGGCAAGGTCCATGAAGTGGTTTATGGGGATCTCGAGGGGTTTCAAATCACCCACATTGAGCATCCAGATGCGATTTGCTTGACGAGCGGATGCAAGTTGCATCTGTTGTTGGTATATTTAGTCAGATTTCTACGACTATGATAAAGAGAATTGGGACATTACTAACCTGTTCAACAGTCTTCTCAAGTTGAATAGTATTAATCCACTTGTAATCCCGAGGAGACCCAACATAATCCACATGATAGTAGACACCTGTTTCATAAAATGTCAGTAATTTGATCTCTATCCCCAAAACAAGACCAAGAATATACTCACCAGAACCACCACTTCTATTCGTCTCATTAGTCAATGGTAACCTCCTTACATTCCCAAAATTATCATCCGCCCATAGCAAAGTGATATCATCCGGAACTGTCATCCCCGCTTCATAATACCCCTGAACCTCACTATACAAACACCACATTTGTGGAATCTCAGTTACGTTCCTCCCCTCATACACTTCCCCAAATATCTCCCTTTGTTTCGTCACTATATCCCCTAGTACCGAAATAGCCTGCGCTTGAGTCAAAGATAAAGCAGTATCACCGGATCCACGCATGGCCATCGTGAAAAGAGTATTGGCAACATAGGGAGCAGCACGCTCAGCGCCGTATTTGAAGAAAGGCGCGACCGATGCATTGTTGGTGTCGTATTCCCATTGTCCATTTCCGCCATATTCTTTGCCGAAAGTAGACCATTCTTTTGTGGCACGCGACATTGGTTCTGTATGACTTGTACCCATTACAATTCCATAAGCATCCGCCAATGGTTGATTAGCGTAATCATCTACATTGAACATACTATCCCATTGAGCGGGCCAGAAGTAATTCGCTCTTAATCTTAGCAGGAGTTCAAAAACTTGGGAGTGGAAGTAATGATTAAATCCAGCACCATATTTTCCTTTTGGATAATTCGCACTGTAATTGTTAGCAGTCATGTCTTTTTGGCCTTAATACTAAATCTTACTTGATCCAATTCGTCAATGCAGGCTGTTCATCATTCAAAAAGAATCCTCTGTATCTCACACTCGGTGTATCCTGAATCTTCAAAATTTGCATCCCTCCACTCGGAGGTTTAGGTGGTGGACTCATTTGTCCAGATCCTCCTTGTGGTCCTTGTCCCGGTCCATGCTGATGTGTCACATTTGGTTCTAAAGCCCAAACCCCATCTTGGATTCTCACCGGAACATCCGCCCACCACCACCAAGGACTGACACCTGCTTGTTCACTGATATCATAGAGTCCGTATATGGTACCCCTGAGATCGCTTCCCACGATCACCATTGCTTCCTGGACACCAGGGAGAGGATTTTGAATTATAACGGACATAAAGGCTTCCCATTTCCCTTTGATGGGATTAGGGTCTAGAAGACCGGATGATATAAGTTGGGTGATCAGTGGCGATTGTGTGAGCGTCCCTACAATAAGGACAGTAGATGAAGGATCAGATGGGTGTAGAGTAGGACCAGTGAAGTTTTGTTCTGGACCAACGGTATACTATGTTGGTGTAAGAATTATTATCTGTAAACTGATTGGATGTGGAAGGACATGATGCTTGTCTATCTCTAGGTCTAGAGATTTGTCGACAGAGGAAACAAACTTACATTAACATCATTAGTAGGTGCTCTATAAGTATAAAGCACCTGGATTGCACCGCCGCCGCTACTACCAATCGTTGCGTTATGTCCCAAATCACCACCTGGGTTAGCGATATCACCAACCACTCCTCCTTCTCCATTCCCATTATTCCTTTCAGGTGGTGGGTGATCATTTCCATTTCCATCACCACCTGGACCACCACCACCAAATCCAGAACTTCCTGTAGAAACATTTGGTCCAGCATTTCCATCCCAATAAGCCAACGTCAAATTCTCTCCCACAACCTTTCCTAAATCACCAGCCAAATCCTCCGCTACCCTCAACACACCCCACCATTCCTCTTTACTTACTAATATTTGTGCATTGAGTCCTTTACCTGCTATCTGCAAGTGAGAAGATGTGCCATTTGTCGGTTTTGTCGTTGTGATTGTTGGATCTTGGCCTAATGCAGCGATCAATGGCAAAAGAAATGTCAACGAAGTGAGAAAAAGAGGCAGTCTACAGAGACTGGAAGACGTCATTTTGAATGCCAATAATTGAATTGTTGGTCACCGCATCGAATTCTCCAAGAAAGGCATGCAAGCAAATACAAGAGATCAAGCCCAAAAGAATTGTGTGAAATTAGAGCATTGGAATCAGGAATCAAGCGGTACTTAAATACTATAGCAACATTCTCCATAAGAAAATCCGGGGCCCCATATAACAGCTATATCGCCTAAAGTAAACTTTCTGCAACTTACGGTAAGAGGCGGATCAGAGGATAAAACCTTTGCATATGCAGATGTTGGTTAGAGAAGCTCGTGCTGATCGGACCAATCATCTAAGGACAAGCATAGGATAAATGCAAATTCCTTGTATGCGTTTTTGTTGTGCCTGGCAGCGTAGTGTCTTCTTGTAGTCAGGCCAAGTCAAGTTCTAAACTTATCCGTGGAACATAGTGGTGTAGGTCCTTTCGAAAAGAGTGGTGTAGAGATCGGCATAACGATTTTGCGGGGTTGAACATGTCACTTTTCTATTTAGCCTGAATAGAGTGATAGGATAAATCACATATAGTTGCAACAGTGGGAGAAATTGCGGGTAAAAGCTTGTACGTAACCTAAGAAGGCAACTATTGTAGAAGATTGAGTAGTCTAAATTATAAACTTCTCAGGTATAACAATGCATGAACCATCCAGCTCAAGATGACCTTCGCCAACTATGGCGGAGTTACGACGGCTAATATTCCAATTATTTGCAAAAAAAAAAAAAAGTATAATTAATCACGAAATATACGAAGCGGCAATGATTACGAAAAAAAGTTTGTTCAGAATTATGGAAAGTGTGTGATGTAGAGATCGCCAACCTTGAAGTACTTACAAGCAAGCCTCCTCTTTCTTTCCCTTTCGGCATTCCCCAAGAGTATCTCGTCCGTAATTTTCCTTTTCTAAAATGTAATGCTAAACCTCCCTCATCAATGAAACTTACCAATATCATGCATGGACGCTCCCTAAATCCCAAACGTAGACACTAAAATCAGAAGGCGAATTTTCAGAGGACATATTAAGTCAAACATATTCCCGAAAGACTTAGCTGTTTTCAGCACGACTCCTCCCCATAATTCTATTGAATACAACCGTGCTGTATCGAAATATCCGAAGTACCAAGAGGTTTATCGAAGTTTTCAAATGCATGCTTTGAAAGTAATTCGAAACGAGTTCTGTGATATAATCTCGAGAAATCATTCCAATAATCAATTGTTGACAGTAACAGCAGCAACAGATTCCTCAAGGGATGTTTCAATCTTTCCATCTGGGACAAATGCGTACCTGGGCATCTTGGCCATTTTCTCCTCCGGACTCACTTCATTATCTGAGTATATCATTTTCATCGGCTTATCTTTCTTGGACTTCTTCTCGGCGACCTCGGTCTTTGCTTCTGGTTGTGGTCCTGGTTGAGCGACACTTTCAGGAGCAGCAACGGCTTCTGTAGTTTCGGTTTTTGATAGATCGACAGAGTTCCTATTCGGAGGCTTAATACCTGCCTCTGCCATTCTGATAATTTTGTCAATATCATCATCGGCATCTCTAGCCGCACCTGAAACAAGGTCATCAACAGTAGATGCGTTAGTCGAATGTTCCCCAAGACCTGGAGGATGAGGATAAGCTGATGACGTAGCTGAATTTTGATCTTGTCCATTCCATCCATTACCATTCCAACCGCCCTTTTGATGCATTTGTTGCATCTGGTATGGCGGAATTGGCGGTGCACCAAATGATGGTCTTTGGGGAAGACCGGGCGCTGGTGGTAGACTTGGGGGTCGATTAGGAAGGCCACCATGTGTAGGTGGAGTGTGAGAAGGTGGTGGTTGATATCCGTTAAACGACCCCGGAGGGGGGGAGCCAGCACCATATGGTGGTGGTTGAAACGCATTAGGTGGATATTGCGGAGGGGAGTATTGAGGTTGATAAGCTGGACCGGGAGGTCCGGAGAAAGGCGGCTGTTGGTTATATGGCTGTTGGTAAGCTGCCGCAGGTTGACTGTATGGTTCTTGAGAAAATGATCCATAACCCGCACCTTGTGTAGCACCATAAGAACTTTGGGGAGGAGGGAAAGGAGAGTTGTTCTGTTCATGGCAGTTAGTATTGAGATTGTTTCAAAGGACTTCAGATAACTTACGAATGCACCGGGACTTTGTGTGGCTGCCAAAGGACTTGCGGCGCTAGAAATGCCAGCATCTAATGGTGTGGTTCCACCACTACCGCCATTTGCTGCTTGTTCAGCTTTCCGCGCTTTGTGCTCTGCTAACCTTTTCTTTAAATCTGCTGGGGATTCCACTTTTGGCTTTTTTGATTGACCACCGCCAGCATTGGCAGTTCCTGGAGCAGGGTTTCCTGTAGCAGCACGACGATCTTGCTCCGCTTGATAGAAACCTGCAATTATGCGCTGATTATGTGCTTGAACCACATCTTCAGGAATACCTTCCATACCAAAGATTTCGACCTCGAGACCCTGTCTATTTGGAAGAGAGTTGTCGACACTTGCCAAAGTTTCTTTATGCACTTGATTCATATGAACGGAGAGTCCTGCAGATTGCTGGTTAGCTTGAATTAAATGGTGTATGTTCGGACCAGAGATGACATACCTCCAGCAGTGTTCAATCGTCGACCACATCGTTCGCATTTGAAATGCTTGGCTTTTTGATGGGAAATGAGAATTTTCAAATCGTCGAAATCGCGTTCGCCTGTGATGGAAGAATTGTTAGCATCGCGATATGTGCGATGATGGGAATGGTGGCGATACTTACAATAATAACACCAAGGGCGAGCCAGCAACTCCTCGATATCGGGATGACCGCGCTTCTTTTTCCCAACCATTGTATTGATTGAATTAGAGAGGTAGTGAAATGAGAAGTATCTTTGAAAAGAGAATTAATGATAAAATGCAAGACTTAGTATTAAGTAGATAGGTAGGGAATTTACAAGAAGCTGTAAAAAGATGAAGCTGGCGGCTGGCTGGCTGGTTTGATAGATTTCGTATTTCGGCAAATGGGCTTTCCCAATCCGAGATTGGTGCCATAATCACGTGAGCTACCAGAGCTTGGACCTTTTCGTGCGCAAACATAAATTTTACTTTTTTTTTCAAACATCTGAACTTCAACACCAAGATATTTCATCTCAATGACAACGAAAACCTCAATGTATCGAATATACACAAGTCCAAGTCTGATATCTACTCGATGTCATGCCCATGAAGGAGAAAATCCTCCGACTATGGGCCAGCGTAAGTCAATGCGTAGGATCGAGGTGTAGTGAGTTATAGAGCGTTCCTTCATCCGGCTCAAAATGCCATCAACAATAGCAATACCTTGATCAATCACTCAGCCTTCATTGGCACTCATAGATGAGACTCTTCTTTGAAGAGCCTTTCAATATCTTCGCGTCTTGTGTCGAGATTGAATGGAGGTTGAAATAAGGTATGATCTTTCGGGATTATACCTTCACAAGAGGATATATTGCAAGACTAATCAAAGGACCTTCATAGTCCATACTCCTACTCTTCATGAGAGCCCTACAGGAGTGTGGCTCCTTGCGTACCTACATCTTACTACCAAATACTATTCGTGTTCGTCATTGCCTACTAGAATGATCATAGACGACGTGGTTCCCCGAGTTTGTAGTGACTGTACCCTCTTTCCTCCTTGCTACTGTGTCGATGTTGTTTTGGGACACAGTTAGTCGCAAATTTCTGAGATCTGGATTATCAAGATCGTTCATGAAGTTTCTAACTTTATGGCATGTGAGATCACGAATTCCTTCAAAGATCAAAGAGTGAGACTACAATGCTTGTTTTTCACATCACTCGTGAGCTTGCTAAATAGGTGTTTCCAGCATGGCTCACACAACATGAATTCTGTGAGCCCCTGGAACCTTTACCGAGAGTCCTCTTCTAAGGTAGTGTAGTCCACGGGTCTTTAATGAACAAAGATTTGGGAATAGCTTCAGATACCTAGTTATCAGACTTTCTAACCGTTTTCCTTTAGATAGATGTAAAACATGTTTGATCCTTCGTAACCGTGCACTGCAATTGGATCACATTGAGCCCTGCCAAGACATAAGGTAAATCATTGGAAGAAGCGGTGGGGTGGATCTAATTCATTGAAGCTTATGCTCTATTAGGTAAAGTCAGCAGCGGGATTGCGAAGTGATGGATGCTAATACGATAAGAACTCTCATCTATTTTGATACAAGGACTGAGGGGAATCGTTGATAGTAGAGATTCAACACAGGAGTGAGTGATATCGACTTCGCTAGACAACAAGTTCCTTCAATGTAACTTGATAGAATGATGAGAATAGTAGGGGTGATATAAAACTAATCGGCGTAGATGATGTATTTATTGTCTTTATAGCTCACACACCATATCATCATCTCCAATCATCAAAGCACAATCGAAAAACAATGTCCGGGTTCTGGAACAAATAGCTACGAGGTGAATCCGAGAGCTAATTAGGAAATCCAAAAACATCAACCACAACTGCAAATGGTCGTACGTCTAATAATCTCCATTCTTTTTGATAAGTATAAATCATATGCACCATGCTAATGATCTATATTATCTAACAAATCCATATGAAAATCAAGCTTTCCAATGCTTCGGTACTTTTTCCCTTATCCACAACTTCAAATGTTCCAACTTGTGCCAAGTAACGTCATCCCGTAGATTACTGTAGAACTTTCGTCTACAATGCAACTTTGGAAGATACATCATCATAACATGGGAATTGGACATGTTGAGGTCACAGACCTACCTCTGTTCTACACATAATACATATAATATAATCCAGTGGATTTAATGAATCTTACTATATTCTCCGTTCATCAAATACCGTCTTACCCTTGATTTTAATTACATGGCTCAAGTCTTCAAACGAAATCTGAATCCTCTCAAATACATCAATCTTACATCAACCCCACATACCAACTACCTCCGAATCACCCCATTAACTTCAAAACAGCAAGCAATTATGTCTTCCGATAACCCTTCCCTTCAGAGAAACATCTCTTCTGTTCACAAGCGCACCAAGCCAAATGAGAAACATCCCAAATTCGGACATCTACCTCTCAGTACCAGTGGTCCTCTAGAATGTGCTTTAACAGGCACTGCACTTCTAAACACACCTTACCTCAACAAAGGTGCAGGCTTCCCGGCAGATGAACGTAGGAAGTTTAAGTTGACGGGATTATTGCCGTCAAATGTCTCGACTTTGGATCAACAAGTTAAGAGGGCTTATGATCAGTATAGTTCAAGATCAGATGATTTGGCGAAGAATACTTTCATGACTTCGTTGGCTGATCAGAATGAGGTTCTGTATTACAGAGTGAGTTCTTCATCTTTCTACAACAACCTCCGTCGTGCACCTGACTGCTCTCTTCGGAGGATGTATGTCTCGAGGGGGTTGGACGGTCACGTGTGAAAGGCATGATCATGAGGACCTTTTCTAATTTCAACCCAGTTGATCCAAGATCATATGAAGGAAATGTTCTCCATTATCTATACACCAACAGAAGGCGAGGCAATTGAGAACTATTCTAGAATATTTAGAAGACCTGATGGTTGTTTCCTGAATATTGATGACACAGATCGAATTCATGATGATTTAGCCCAATGGGGTGGACCAGAAGATATCGATTATATAGTTGTTACCGGTATGTCAAATGCACACAATATCTCACAGCAGAGCTGATACTCCATAGACGGAGAAGAAATTCTCGGAATCGGAGATCAAGGAGTCGGTGGTGTCTTGATATCCGTTGCAAAACTAGTTCTGACCACACTCTGTGCTGGTATCCATCCAAATCGCACACTCCCAGTTGTCTTGGATTGTGGAACCGATAACGAGAAACTTCTCAACGACGATCTATACCTTGGTTTGAAGAAACCTAGAGTGAGGGGCAAGGAATATGACGATTTTGTTGACAAATTTGTTCAAAATGCCAGAAAACTTTATCCTAATGCATATATCCATTTCGAAGATTTCGGACTTCCAAATGGTAAGATAGATCCCTCTCACTGCAGCATAATATACTAACAAACTTATAGCCCGAAGAATCCTCGACCGATATCGTCCCGAGATGGCCTGCTTCAATGATGATGTCCAAGGAACTGGATGTGTCACCTTGGCAGCCATGATGGCCGGTCTTCACGTGAGCAAAGTCAAGATCGAAGACACACGAATTGTGATCTTCGGTTCTGGAACAGCTGGAACCGGAATTGCAGATCAAATTCGCGATGCCATTGCAGCAGATAGTGGAAAGTCCAAGGAAGAAGCCGCCAAACAAATCTACTGTGTGGATAAGCCCGGTCTCCTGCTAAAATCCCACGGTGACAAACTTACGCATGCACAAATCCCGTACGCACGTGAAGATTCCGATTGGAAAGACAAAGACCACGGTGATCTTCTCCAAGTCATCAAAGAAGTCAAACCACACGTCTTGATTGGTACCTCCACAAAACCAAAATCTTTCACCAAAGAAATCATCCAAGAAATGGCCTCCCACGTCGACCGACCTATCGTCTTCCCCCTCAGCAACCCTACCCGTCTCCACGAAGCCGATCCAAAAGACATCAACGAATGGACCAAAGGCAAAGCTTTAATAGCCACCGGCTCACCTTTCCCACCCGTTGAGTACGAAGGCCACGAATACGAAGTCGCAGAATGCAATAACTCGACCTGTTTCCCCGGCATCGGTCTCGGATGCGTTCTCTCCCGCACAAGATTATTGAGTGACAAAATGCTAGTCTCAGCCGTCAAAGCGCTAGCTGCTCAGAGTCCGGCATTGAAGAATCCGGATAAGGGATTATTACCTGATGTTGCCGATGTTCGCGAAATCAGCGTTCGTATTGCTAAGGAAGTTATCAAAACTTCGGTAGAGGAAGGTCTGGCACAGGAAAAGGGGATTCCAACTGAAGATGAAGATTTAGAAGAGTGGATTAGAGAACAAATGTGGGATCCAGTATACAGACCATTGAAGCTTGTGGAGAAGGAGACGGCGAGCAGAAATGCAAGTGGTAAGAGTGGAACTGCTGATTAGAGGTGGTGCGAGTTGCTTCTTTTGTGCTACAATCTGAATTGTGGATTCGATATGAGATGATAGATTAGATATTACTTTTTGATAATTAATTTACTTTACCATGGATTGTAGCTCGTTCTATACTCGTAAGTGAAATGATCATCACCTTGGTGCAGAAGTCTGAGGGGTAACGTAGTCTTTACAAGTATGGTGCGGAATTCTGAATTCCTTGGGCGCTTCAAGACCAGACTGCAATAGTACAGTAAACACGATGCATGAGGATGAATATCTCGAGTGGAGGTTACAATGTATGATATGAACTTCAGACGTTACAATTCCATTTACTGAACCACGCTATCTATGTCAGAATATGCGAGCATTGTACACAACCCTGAAGTCCTTGAGCGCATGAAGGCTAGACAGCAATGTTACAGTGAACACGATGCATGAGTATGAATGTCTCAAGTGCATATTACATGGTTTGATTCGGATTTTAGATGCTACAATTCCTTTTACTGAGTCACCCTATCTATGACAGAACAGAATGTGCGGTTGAAAATGTCATCTTCTATCCATGCCCTGTTCTTGATACCAAAAAGTACATATCAACAACGCAAACATCCCAAGCCAGATAGCCCCACCTACAACCATCTCGCGTTGATCAAAGTAATAATCTATAGCCACTACTCCGCGGGAAGCTAGGAAGTAACCGAGGACACCAATGAGGATCTGAATCTCAGTCAGAATATTCACGTGGGGAGATATTGAAGAAGAGGGAGTAACATACCATGAGGATAGTTCTTTTGACAGAGTAATTGAATAAGTCAACAAGCAGTACTGAGAAGTTTTGCCGCTAAAACAAACGGATATTAGTGTTGAATGGTTTTTAAGCATCGAAACCCCATTTCTATCCTGCCAGCTCAGACTGCTGGTCCATGAAAAAAGTTGGAAGCACACGTACTCTCTCATCCTGCGACTTGTTGATACTTTTTTTGGCCGAAGTCTCTAGCCTAACCATGGTGTCATGTGCAGTGACGACGTCGACGGACAATTCATCGGGAGCCTTAAGATTGTGTTAGTGATACGGTAACAAGCATGATATGATGTTGATGCGAATAAACTTACGGTGTAGCCAATTCAGAATCGTCGACCTCATATTTAAGCCGACGATTGCCTCGGGGAGGTCTCAAAATATGATGAATCTAGAGTAAGAAATAAATATCAGCCAAAGTGCCATGGCTGAGTAAGATCACCATCCTGTCAACCAACTGTACGTGGCCAAGTCATCATTTCAATAGAACACGGAGAGTTGGAGTGCACCGGTACCCCGTAAAAGCGCACCGTAAAGATGTGAAGCTACCACTCGAGATTCACAGCTCGAGTGTCGGGCCAGATCGCTATATGACGTTTCCGCCGAGCGAATATCACTAGTTCTCATAATCTGATAGTTATCCCCAATCATGCGTAACTGACTACAGTCTGCGTTGGCCAAGGAAGTCCCCCCCAAACGCGGGGCCGCTGGTTTAGACCCAACCACAATGGGTATATAGAGGACGAACATGCCTGGCTACACCACCAACCAAGTCCCTAATTCCTGAGAATCGAGGTAGAAGAGAGAGATGGACCAGAAAGAGGTAGGAAGGAAGCAGCTGTGACCGCCTCCAGTTTTAGACGCTCCATGACCCGAGATCATGGACTGATGGGGATGGCATATGGGGAATGATTGACAGGTAGTAGGAAAGGTGATCTTACCTGTTCAAATTCGTCGTCAGACATTTTGATGTTTGCGTAACAGGCCTGGAGATATCTGTGATGGTGATGAACAATTAGCGTGTGAGCTTTTCTGAAGAAGGTGGAGTATCATAAGAGAGTAATCGTCTTGAACAAGGTAAAGCATTGTGGAATGATTGGAAGAAAGGAGAAACTTACCAAGAATAGAATGGGATGTGTGTAACTACAACTTCCCAATTGACTGGGAGGTTGGTTTGTTGTGTAAGGAAGAAGAAGAAAGATTGAAAAATCGGGGAGACCAGTCTCTTAAATAGACACTTCATTCCTGCTCGAATGGACAAACGTGGTAGACTAGTAAGTTCTTTCCCGTTCTGTTGAGATACAAATTCACTTATCCATGGTTTCTAGCCAGTGATAGCAGAGGGATCGTTGAGTTTTCCTTGCTTTGAGCCCTCTGAGTCGCCGACGATATTCACTTCAATGGCGCAATTGTCCAGCAACTTCTTGAGGGTGAAAATTTTCTCGCGCACAATTCTTTCAAAGTTATCAAAATTATCTCATTGGCTTGAAAACTCGTTAGAAAATTTGAATCTATCATCGTCGTCGTCGTCGTTATCTCATTTCCCAACCTCACGTGAGCGGGGTTTCCCGTACACCAGTGGTATATTCACTTCGATGGCACGATCTCTTTGTTACATTCAAGACCCTCAAGGTAGAAATCTCTGCACGCACTTTAGAATCACTCGAGTTAATTCCTTGATTGGCTTGAATGATTTCGGCATTGAACGATCGTTATCTCGTTACCGTCATCCCTCCTTCATCAAGCATCATGAGGTACTCGCTCATATGGTGTGGGTTTTCACACCTATATTTCATACTTTGATATTCCATGCGAAAAAGTCTTTGCATGCACACATTAATGATTGAGACTGATTATATGATTGGCTGCCAAGTTTTGTAGAGTGAGCGATGCTGTCGCTGCATCGCCGCTTCACTTTTTAGTCTCTCATGTGCAAGTTTTTTCCTTTCAAGAAATTCACTTTTATATCAGACATTAAAAAGTTGTGCGTGAAAACTCTGCAAGCACTGCGCATACCTTGATGGTTAAAGGTACCAAGGTGTCTAGGGATGGCGATCGCCGTAGAAGATACTGGTCTGGTCATCACTGTTCACATTCAACGCAAGAAGCTTGGATAAGAATCCAATAGGTAAAAGCATGAGATATTCGCAAATTCAAAGATACCTAATATTTGGGCAAGTAGTAAAAACGCTTTTGTAGTGAAACAGAACCATGTGGAGATATCTTGATACCAGAGTTGTGAAAGTAAACATCCTATCTCCCGAGAACCTCACCAGTTAGCTGAGAGGTTAATATGGTCCATGTTGTGCCTGTCAACTTCTTTCCAGCTTTTGAATCTCCAGATTGCACATGTCGAAGTGTTTTAGCTCCCCGTAACCCATGATTGTCGTTGGTCTTGCCTGGACCCATCGCTCTCCTGAACGCGACGTTGCGTCAATCTATCGAAGTGTAGGGATAGTAATCGACTGCTGAGTGATTCTTAATTTGAGTGATCGGCTGATACTCGATAGTTACCCTTTTCTTTCCCTTCAGGCTCCGCTGCTCCTGCGCCTCAAGCAAGCTAAACACTGGATTCATATAGGCTGGCCAAGTAAAATCACTCCCCACTAAGGCGACTATAGTCTCAAGCCCATGAAATCTTTTCAACAAAATCTCAGACATGTCCTGAACGTTGGGAAAAGTCGTTAAACAAACACGTTTGATGTTATTCCTCTGAGTCAATGATAGGGTGGTTAATACCCTTTGCAAGGTATCCATATCATGAAATACGAAAGTATTTCGGTCGTACATATTATATGTTTTCTCTTGGTATATCTGTCGACATACTCGCCAAAGACAAGTCACTGGTAAATTCTTGTAGTAGGCCAGACCTCCTTTGGTGTACTTTCTGTAACGTATGCCATTACGTACTTCAACATCACGTTGAAAATGGTGATAGAGTACCTCGATGACTTGGGAGGGAGGAGAAAGTAGGTCATAGATTTGAGTTCGAATCTCAGGCGGTAAACGTAGGAAGGGCGAGAACGTTTGATTGTTTTTTATGCTATTATATTCTCCCATCAGTAGGTAATACCAAAGTAAAAGGCATTTATTCCTTACACTGGTTTGAGTTCCATAGAAAGGCCAGCCTTTCGCCCTCGGCCCCGCCCCCGTTTTCGCTTTAGCTCTCTTTTACCAAACCGTTCATCCTCTCCATCGGCTTCTCGGGTAAATGTACCCAACAATAACCATTCTCGCCGCTGACTCACTCTTCCAGTGGCTGTCAAGCCGGGTGGTAAAACTGTGAATACTTTTCCTGATGCTAAATCCGTACATCTTGTCTCTCCAATCCGTTGACTGGGTACTTCTGTGGGACTAGTGCTTCTGATTGCAGATAGATATGAATGATAGGACAAGAAAACGGCATTTGATGCTAGATCTGTATAACTATTCTCTCTGACCCGTTGATTGGGTGGTTCTGCGGGACTAGTTTTCATGATCGCAAATAGATATCATCGAGACCAGTGTGGTAATGATCGTATTAATACGGTGAGCTGTTAACATTAGATGTAGGTTCTTAGGGATTTTGCGTCGAAAACGAAACAACAAACACTCTCGACCTACCTAGTAAGCTTGACTTCGCGAAAGTAGCAGCGTAAAAGATGCTAACCGAAATATTGCCTAGAATGATTTGTCCAACAATAGATTTGCAGCTGCTTCATTGCCCGTCTGATAAAGAAGTAACTCTAGTTGAAAGTTGAAAGTTGAAAGAGATGAGGATTGAAAAGATGTTTGAAACGGAAATGCGTTTGCTTTCCGGCATGCTACATGTTGCAGCCTGGTCATCACGTGCCAAGGGTATGAGTTGTGTAACCTCCCAGCACGTCCAATAAAGTGCTCTTCGCCTCTGTGTCCAATCCATTTCAAACGAAGAAGCAAACTCGTTTGTTGATGCTCCAGAGGCGCGTTATAACGAAGTCAATCTACCTCCATTGCTAATCACTCCTTACTTCCATCCAATTATTGTCAATTTTTCAGTATCATATTGGATAGTGATATTTGAGCCAGATAACTTCATTCTTCATATATTTGTGCAGCTTAGATTGATTGATGTCTATCAGAACTACTTCGCCCACCGAAACGCAGCTTTAATCAAATTGTTGTGCGTTATACAAGTCGAACTCGCAAAGATGAGAGAGTTCAAAGTGTCGTCTAGTCGTACAAAACTCCCCAGACAGCGTATTGGAGAGACAAGATGGACAGAATTGAAGTCGAAAAAGGTTCTTCGATCCTTACCATTTCCAATATATTTACACGCGGGAAGACAAAGGCCACCTCCATCTTGGTGCGTAGAGAGAGATCTTATGACTGAGGAAGATGATTCCAAACGTCCAAAAATTCAAATAGGACCGGCTTCTGCCCCACAAAGACTGTATGGCGTCACTCCACTTCTGTAAAGATTAGCAACTGATGCTAGAATAGTTTGCAACGGGACGACAAATGTTTTGCATTTTTTTCTCTCCCACCAGAAGTACGCAATCAGATTCACAATTTACTCGCACCTACTCCTCAGTACGTCATGGTAAATTATCAACCCCACGAATGCCGCTGGCGACAGCAAAATCACATCCGCTATAAGCAATGGACCAAAGGTGGCATTTTTTACCAACAGCAATATCCTGTCACCCGTCTTTGGCTGGTGAGCCGACAGTTTTACCATGAAACCAAACACATCGGTCAGTCAGGCTGGAGTTGCAACACCTTTGCATTCAAAAATGACTCTGTTGCGACAAAATTTGTCTGTCATGTATCTTTGCAGCAAGCGAACTCTATTCAGAACATCAGCTTTGGGACAATCGATTCTACCACAGAAGTTTGTTCGTATAACTGGAGCAAGCTTTCAGGGCTGAGGCTTATCACGATTTGTGAACATTGGTCTTCCAGGATGCCCCATATTGAGCAGCTGATAAAAGCAAATAGATTGCGGTTTGGGGCCACGTTCGAGCTTGATCTGAAGTTTAAATACACGTCCAAGGAGGATATGAACCGTATCTTCCTCCAGAAATGTGCGCTCAAGTCTACCTACCGCGCTAGGAATTACCGGCTTAGTGGAGAGGAAAGGAGTTTATGTTCTAAAGAAGACTGGCGATGAATGGGAGGCAAGCGATTATGAAAATAGGCGATTGAAGATTCGAAGATGGAAGTTTGAACCACATTATCGCGAACTCAGTAGGAACTGTGAGTTTTGGTGATGGGTTACTCTATGAATATGAGTAGTGTGCTGTCTATCGAGTTGTGTTAAGTAGTCATCTTTTGAATCAATATTGGTATCGATACTCAATAAAATCTCACGTGTATTCAATATCACCCTGACGGTCTTCACTCATGACTGGTCTAGGCTTTGAAAGTAATTGAAAGTCGAAATGGTTTGAGTGATTTGAGAAAAGACAATTTTTATGCCGTGGAACAAAGATGAATGATTCAGTGCTTCAATATTATTCATTTTTTGACTTCTTTCAAATCGCTTACCATACTTATTCAATACACATTTAAATTTCCAACATTACGCTCCACACACCCTAAAGTTAATCTGTCCCCGAGAAACTAATACTCTTGCTAGTTTTCCCCGCTTGCGCGACATCTAACGCAACATTCGTCGCCAGCTTCTTTTGCTGTGCTGCAAGTTCACTCGAGCCTGATTCTTCGTTAGCACCATCTTTCAACCTTATCCTCTACCCCAAAAGACACGAAGAGGGAGCAACTCACTCCCAGCATTTCCCTGTGCAGTCTGTATCTGAATCCTCAACACATCTGTCTGTAACTTCAAGACCTTGTTCTTGATTTTTCCAACCTGCAACGCAGCACCAGCGGTAGAGCTCGTTCCACCTGCAGCATCAATAGCATCATTAAAACCACCGGTACCTACTTCAGCATCCTCGGAAATCTGAGCAGCTTTGGTTATTATAGCTAAATCAGCAGCAGAAACACCGGCGAAGTTTGAGGTATCAATCTAGGGGTTTGTTAGGAGCTGAGACTTTCTGAAGACGGGAATAGACAAAGAAAATTGATGGAGAGTGCGTACAGGAAATTTGGCATTGACTTCCGCCAGAGCATCTCCGGCTACTCCGTCAGAAACTTGGAAGGTGCTGTAGTCTCCCGCAGTGAGAACACTAGCACTTGTGGCTTTTGTGGTAGCACGTTTGACTGTATCGATTGGTGCTGCGAGAGTTGCTACTGAGAGCGAGAAGAGAATTGCGAGGTTGGAAAATTGCATTTTTAGTATTTATTAAATATTGAAGGCTGACCTCGAAGAAGTTTTATGTATATAGATATCGATATATGTGTAAAGGTAAAATCAATAGAATTTAGAGGCGGAACAGTCTACAGCACAGCTGAAAAGAATGTATGAATAGTAAAAATAGAACAATCAATGAGATGGAAACGCAACGAGAAAATGGAAAACATAGTGAAAGAATGAAGTGAACTTATAATAAAATAATTGCATTATCACATTACTTCATCTTATCTCACTAACAGATGAAAACAATCAGATGAACTATCAAGGCAAATTCATCCGAGACATCGGACTGCTTTGGCCAAGCGAGCATGAAATGCTCCAGTGAAATTTATCTCATAGAAAACCGCTCGCATCACCTTGGCGATGAAATTAAGAGTTAGGGTGAAATGGAAATAGAATGTTACACTGGCAATAATTTTAGAGACAGTTGATGTGTGAGATTCCCAATAAGCTCCTGTTTTGACAAGGGTTCTTCAGGCGAAGGGGTTTTGCGAAACCCCAGGTTCTCCTCCTGAGATGTTTGGACCACATTATAAACTTTTGGCGCTAGCAAAGTTTGAATTTAACCGCAACACTGAAAGCTATTCTGATTCTTTTCTGAGACCTTGGTATTTTTCCTCCGACTTGAAATGCCGAATATGTCGATGCTACTAAATCCATCAATGTTTGCAAGATACGTGAGCACCCCAGAAAGGTGAAATGAGATGGAAAAAATATTGTGTTTTCTTTATCCTTCACCAAAGTAGACGAGCGCACTTGCATATCCAGCAAATCCATGAGCCCATAACGATATGTATACAAAACAGGGTATCTAAACATTAAACAGCAAAAGGCAACTGACCAAGTCACAACAACTTCATATCCATAATCAATATCTACTCCTTGCCCCACCCCCCTGATTTTCCTTCCATAAACAACAAATACTCTTGCTTTCACACCATCTCTTAACCTCTTTCGGAGCCACCTCCCCATCCCAACCAACTTTACCCAACGCTCCCGTATTCAGCCATGATGCCAAATCTTCCAGCACAATAGGATCGTAAAGCAGTATTTTCTCATGCCAGCTTGGATTTGAGGGATCTTGTGATGGTGGCGCACTGGTGATGGCAGTATAAATATGAGTGAAAAGTTGTGCTTGTTGAGCCTCATCATCTTGATCGTTTTTAACAGGAGATAATTTTAGAGCTTTGGAAGCTTTCCGAATCTGAGATGGAGATCTTCGTGGCGGCGAAGGTGTCATAGGGTGATCAGAATCAGAGACATCTTCGATGGGTTGTTTTCCCTTCTTCGGCTTTTTGGGTGTACGAAGCTCGGAGAGAGGGATATCATTGTCCATTTCCGAAATTGCTACTGAATCTGTAATTTTCGACTTCGCCTTCGACTTGATAGTGGTAGTATCTTTAGTAGACTGTCCACGACCTCTTTGAGAAGAAGAAATGCTGGATTCGACTTGTGTGGATGAACTGGCTACAGCTTTAGAGATTTCGGATGGCCCTTGAGACGCGATTGGTATGTTACCCTGCAGGACACCTAACGCCGGACGGTTCTGACTCTCAAAACACTGAACCAATAAATCAATCATCTTTTTACGACTTTTGATTTGTTTGAATTTATATTTCTGAATTTCTCTGGATAGTTGTGGCGTAGTAAAAGATTCGTAGTCAGGCATCTTAGCGGCTGTAGTTTTTTTAGGAGTACTTTTGGTGACGGAAGCCTTGGGATTTTTCTTTTGTGGAGAAGAAGTAGAGACATCCTTGGAAGAATTCTTAGGTTGAAGAGGGCTGTTTGACAGTTCCAAATTGATGGCCATCTCAATCGGTCCCATTTGTCTCACTGGAACTTGAGTGGAAGGTGGTCGATTATCTTCAATTTCATCAATATCGAACCACTCGTTCTTAGCAGGAGTGATCCATGACGATGAAGGTTTTTGAGAAAGTATTATTCTGTCCGGCTTTGCAACAGGCGTTTGTGCCAAGTCTACCGTCTCAATATCCATCAGATCCCCATGATCATCACGCGCTGCGATGGACCAAAGATTTCGCTTCGCAGCTATTACAGCCTTCGCTCTTTCGGCTATTTTCGTAGGCGGCGAAATAAAAGGATCGTCATAATCATCTAATGCATTCGATGCTTGCATAGCATCATGCAGGTCGCGTAATAACGAAGGTGAATCCTCTCTTGCTAATTGACTTGAAGTTCCAAATACAAAATCTTGGTTACCAACTTGCTTAAGCGCAGATTCTGGGGAGAGAAGAATTGGTTCTTCTGCGGAGCCCTTTTTTGATTTCGATAATCCTTTTACTGGACTCTTTGACCTTGGTTTGGAGGGCATCTTGAAGCCATCACCTGTGACTTCTCCAGAGGCTGCATTCGGGAAGTATTGAAGCAAGGGCGCAGGCGCATTGTTAATGGTATCATCATCTTCTGTTGTTGCATAAGCAGAAGTTGCAAGGTCCGTGAGAGTTCTAGCCTTCTTCTTCACAGCCTTTTCCTTTGCAGCTTTTGTACCAATTGCTGTAGGAATATTGGTATTAACCAGCTCGATTAGTTTCCGTTTCCTTGTTGCAGCAGCTCCATTAGATACACCTGAGGATATCCGCTTCTCAATAGAATTTGCCTCACTACTGCTGAAACCAAAACTTCCCAATAGTTCTGTAAATCCTTGATTGGAGCTCGAGCCGCCAGCTTCTGGACTATCGTCATACTCAGCTAGGACTTGATTCGATTTCGGTGGGGTCCAATTCTTTCTTCTCTTGACCGCCTCAGCTAAACCGAATCCTTCCTCTGCAAGTATATCTTTGACGACAGGATTAGATGCAAAATGCTTGCTGACTCTATCAGCTTTGGGAGTTTCGATCTTGTCCGGATTTGAGGCATTGGTGGTCTTAGTCACTCTACCCTTAGGTATCTTAGGTTGTGCAGTTATGTCCCCGTCCGATTTCTTAGCTCGCGGCTTCCTTACTGCTTTCTCTTTTGGCACGGATTCACTTCCAGCTTCAACATCGGTTTTCTTCGCCCTAGGCTTGCGCGGAGCTTTCTCCTTCACCCCCTCACATGTAACATCATCGGATTTCTTAGCTCTCGGTTTGCGCACTTTCTTCTCCACTGCCGCCTTTGGGGCGTCTGGCACAATTGCACCCGTAATACCCTCATCCTCTCCGACTCCTCCAAGATCACCCGCTTTCTTAGCTCTGGACTTTCGTGGTTTCTTTTGCGGAATCGTCTCCGTACCCTCTTCTATCCCATCCACAATTCCTTCTACAACTTCCTCTGATTCATCCTCACCCTTCTTCTTTGTAGTCTTCCGGGGTGCCTTTGTCACTTTCTCAATTGGCCCATCTCCCTTCTTCGCAGCGGGTTTTCGTGGAGCTTTGGGCTTCGCAGTCTTCTTTTGTTCATTTTCAACATGTTTCGTGGTCGTCGCTAGTGATCGAGCGGTATCAAATCCTTGCAAAGATCCAGAGGAACCTCTTCGTAATAAAGCTGACGCGCTCGTGAAGGTGGCTGTCGCGTCTAAGGGAATAGATGCAGCCCCACTACCTCTTTGAAGGTTGGGGATTTTCTTTTGCTTGATCATTTCCTCCAAAGAAGGTAAAGGTGGTGAAGATGCATTGTAAGATACCGATTGTCGCGGCGGCGAAGAGGAGATAATGAAGACATCTGTAGTAGCCATATTGATACTATTACATGAAGGAACTTTGCGCCAGGCGCGATGTCCTAAAAGTAGAAGGCGCAAAACTGCTGATTGAAACTTTCATATGGATATAATGTGAAACTCTAAGGAAGTGTACTGATACTTCAATTCATAATATTGATACTCGTTGGTGGGCGCAATCTTCACTCTACAGAACCTCGATCTTTGTTTACGAATACGAATAAGCAGTTCACGCCACTAGTTTGAAACCTGACTCGAAAAGTGCGCCAAGTCACATGTCAATTGATCCAAGCCGCCAACAATTGATGAGCCACATCACATCAGCCACGAAAACCTTGAATATATGGCACCAAGTCAGAAAATCTCTCGCTTACCATAAACCCTCATTTTCCAAGCCCCACGATCGAATTCCAATTTCATTCAACCTCGACGACATCAACGCCAATTTAAGAAATCCCTAAACCTTTCTTCTTCTCACCAACCAACAAGTCGCAAAAATGGAAAACGACAAGGGAGAACTCGTTGATCTGTACGTTTTTACCAATTTTCGATATGCGCTCACAATTGTTGCGTGGGAAGGTCTTGAAAATGGATTCTAATCTTTAATTCTTCATACAGTTACGTTCCACGTAAGTGCAGCGCCACCAACCGTATCATCAAGGCCAAGGACCACGGATCCGTCCAAATCTCCATCGCAAAGGTCGACGAGAACGGACGCGCTACCGGCGAGAACCAAGTTTACGCTCTTTGCGGTTTCATCAGAGCTATGGGAGAGTCCGACGATTCTTTGAACAGATTGGCTCAACGTGATGGTTTGTTGAAGAACGTCTGGAGTGGTCAATCCCAAAGATAAATTCGCACTATTCGGTTCTTTCGGTAGGGTTTCCCTCGACTCGATACGATTTCGATATTATAATTGTTTGAATTCGGGACTGATTGGTTTGAATAGATTTGGGCAATTTTTCTGGCTGGGATACCTGGGAAGGATGGGGATTGAAGAAATAGAGGACGTACATCAAGTGAAGGAAGAATGAGCTTTATGGCTATCATATGCTGAAATAGCCACTTCACATCTGTGATTACGAATCGACGATACATTCCACACCCAACAAATTAATTTTCTTTCTTGGTGACGGTGATAATGATAGTGTGTGGACCGAATACTTCTTTTAACGTTTAGCACCTTTCGCGTTCCATACCGGCTTTTCGAAACTTCTCGGACCACACTTCAAAGTGATACACTTGTTCGAGGAGTCAGATTGCTTTCTTGATGGTTTTCATTAACCCATTTAGCAGGACAAGCCGGAGAATGATATTTATACTGGCCTTCTGATGAGCTGTGACGTTAGAGCATCTCGTTGGAGCACAGATACGGGTCTGACATTTTTTGGAAGGGATATTATTTGGAGGCCTCCTTTATCACGATTCTTGATGCAATAGAATGACGAGTGTCTTCTGGTTGGGATCAAGCTATCTGCAAAAGTTGTCATAATTGATTTGTAGGGAGTTTGATTCTTGTGGAAGCATTACTAATATTTATGATTCCCATTATAAGACCATCTGAGCCCAATTACTATTTGAGGTGCTTCCTAGTGACAATTAAATCTGTCGGTTCTCCTTGGATAATATCATAATTGTCCCTCATAACTGGATCTTCTAGTCATGCCGTGCACATTTGACCGCATTATTCGCCTACCCAGCACACATAAGCATTTGATGTTCAATACATTCTAAGTTGTCTGCTCATTTTCTCTTCCATCTCAACGCGTGAGAGATAGGAGAACATAGTACCCCTAGAATGCACCGCCGAGACACGTTGGCACGACATTTTTATTTAATATTCCAATTCCTAAATCTTGTTGGTGCCAAAAAAGGAACAGTCAAACTTTTGGGACGGGGTCGCCTATTTGACTGCTTGGTTTGTGGAATATATCAAATGTTGCTTTTTACAATACGCAGCCGAAATAAATATAGAGAATTATTTGTAATGTGACTTTTGCTTTTAGAATACCAATTTTAACCATTTAATATCTCGTTGAACTCTCAGTGATATGTTCGATGGTATACTTGTGATGAGAGAAAACAGAATAGGAGGGAGAAATTTGTACAGAGGAATGAGAGTATCTCCCGTAATGAGAGATATGAAAAGGATGTGTGTGAAAGGAGGGGTGCACCGGGAGATGAAAAGTAAAATCTACACTTGACACTTTACATATATTTTTGCGAATCAACATATTCAATAATACATTCCCTCGCCGTCTTTGGATCAAGATAGAAATGAACAATCTTTTTTGTCTGGTGCATCATTGATAGTTAGCTGTGCTCTTCTACAGGTTACGTAACATTCCAGAATTGTCGTTTTCTTGCCCTTAAATCCCCCTGGGTAACCTTACTGAAGGGCTATGATCAATAAATTCCAATATACGCCAATTGTCATATGTATATTGCATAAAAATACACGAGGAGATATCATCTGCGTCTTGAAAATCTGAGATAGAGATTCCCACGTCCACAAATATATGTATATACAAATTGATCTATGCATTTGTATGTCGATGATCCATAGGCTTGGGTTTTGATGTATAGAAACGCGATATCATTTGGAAATCCAATAGAGGAGGAAGTGCAACACGATTAAATTTCAGAACACACTGTGCATTTCGTGGATTTCCTATAACATATCATTATATGGGCTTCTTGGCCATGCAATGAGGATGAGGATTGTTGGGTAGAGGAGTGGAGAGTAAGTAGATGAGTAAATATCAACTTCTCTTATTCTTGATTTTCCGATATCCTCGACTTTCAAGGGATTGTGGAGTGGTCTAGTAAAGCGAATGCACTGGTTGGGGGGCTTTTTAGTTTTGGTTGATGGATGTTGAATGATGAATGAAAAGTGAACGAGTGATGGGGTTATTGAGAGTTATGTGATATTATATGTAATGGTGATGAAGATATGGCCTGAAAACATTGTGGAATCGGATTTCAGAATAAGGTATGTTGTGTATATGGAGGGAGACAGATTTCGTATGGAGGTTGTATATTTCACGGGTTGATGTGATAGATTTTCGTTTGTTGTTTGAGATACTTAAGATTGAGGATTTATGGTGGATTAGATGATTCTGTATTGGGGAATTGGAATTGAGCTCATGTTGTATAGGTAATGTGTGTGAGAGCGAGGAAGGGGACAGACAGGAGGGGACATTGTGGGAGGGGAGGAGAAAGATTGATATTTGTGTAGTATTTATATGTAGAGAGAGAGGGGGGAGGGAGAGACCTAGACAGGAGTTAAATATTTGGAATAAATTTCTAGATTAACTACAGATTTTGGATGGGTGAGCTGGATGCTATATGTATCTTTATTCTCTCAACCTAGCTTATGTCTACTACTCTCTAGGATATTGAATCTAGGCAGTCGACGTTTATCCTCAATATTCATCATAATACCTACGTTCGTTTAGGTTAACAACATTATATATCCTTACATTTGGTTCTAAAGAGCACTCCTTTTTATAATTATATATATCCATTATATATTCTCCAGAAAGCCGAAAAGTAGCAAGGCAATACTATTTATACGCTTATTAATATGTTTAAAAAATCGAGATGTATGAAATATGTTATTTGACATTATTATCATCTACACGTAAATAAAAAAGAGGATATATTTTTTTCTAATCAATCTGCAAGTACTCGTAGATATCGTAAAGTAGGACCAAAAGTCGTCCTCTATCAAACACCGAACTCTTCCCCTGCATTTAGATCGACGCTAGCTCAAGATAATCAATCGCTTATCTACTTACTGTCGCCAAGCCTTTGTCTCCCGATTGACAGCATAGTGACGTCTTTGACCTTGGATCGAAAAAGTACGCGCTGGTCGCGTTGAATCTCGTGTTCGGAAAAATCCATTTTTCTTTCTTTGATGTGTTGAAGACTTGAAGTGATATATCTATATTATATGCATTGACGGCGACTTGGAAATAAGTAAAGAAAACTTGATGTTTTCTCTTTCTACGAGAAACATATTTTTAAAGCAATCGCCATCAAGATTGACCATTTCACAACAAACTATTCTCCCCCTCTCTCAATTCCTCGCAAAACCACAAACACTGCATCGAAACTGCATATCTACCTCTCAAATCCTCAACATGTCCACCAGAAAAGCAACGGCAGCAGCATCCGCCAAACGTAAAGCTAGTGCCACTCCCGAACCCATCTCCCATCTCAATGGCTCCAAAAAGAAAGCAAAAGTCAGCGACGATGACCACGATTTATCTGAACTCCGACAACCGCATCACAGCGCAAAAGAGGCGGAAGAAAATGGCATTGTGTTGAGGAAATACTATCCCCATGAAATGTGTAATCCGCGCGCCATCGCATATAATAATAATGAATTGGAGAGACCAATTGAGGCTTTACACACTGCGCTTGCGGAAACGGAAAAGGAGAGGAAGGGAATTGATAAAGGAGGGGAATGTGTGGTTCATTGGTTCAAGTGTGATTTGAGGACGCAGGATAATACGGCGTTGTGGATGGCAAGTCAAAAGGCGAAAAAGTTGGGGGTTCCTCTCGTGGCAATGTACATTGTTAGTCCTGAGGATTTCGAGGCACATTTAACGGCGCCGGTACGAGTGGATTTTATTTTGAGGACGTTGGAGATTCTGAAGAAGGATCTGGCGAAATTGGATATCCCGCTTTATGTTGAGACGATCGAGAAGAGAAAGAAGGTCGAAGGCAGGATTCTGGAATTATTGGGGGAATGGGGATGTTCGCATCTCTATGCGAATATGGAATATGAAGTCGATGAGTTGAGACGAGAAGCTAGGATGGTGAGAGCTTGTGTGGAAAAGGGTATCTGTATGGATGTGATACATGATACGTGTGTGGTTCGTCCGGGAGAATTGAAGAGTGGACAGGGAAAACAGTATGCGGTTTATACTCCTTGGTTCAAATCATGGGTGGCGCATGTTCATGAGAATTCGGATCTCCTCGAACTTTTCGATGCCCCGGAAAAAAATCCTTCCAGTGCGCGCAAATCTTTTGCAAAGTTATTCGAAACGGAAATTCCAGATGCACCAAAGAATAAATCTTTGACAGCAGAAGAAAAGGAACGATTCCGATCCATGTGGCCAGCAGGTGAACATGCAGCTCACGAACGACTCTCGAAGTTCGCTGATGAAAAAATAAACAAATATGGAGACCATCGAAACTTTCCCTCTCTAAACTCTACCTCTTCCCTCTCAGTACATTTCGCATCCGGAACCCTATCTTCCCGAACCGCCATCCGCACCGCGCGCGATCACAACAATACCAAGAAACTAAATGCCGGGTACCAAGGAATCCAAACCTGGATCTCCGAAGTCGCGTGGCGAGATTTCTACAAACACGTTTTAGTCCACTGGCCTTACGTCTGCATGAACAAACCCTTCAAGCCCGAATACACCAACATCGAATGGGAATACAACGACAGCCACTTCAAAGCCTGGACGGAAGGCAAAACCGGATATCCGATCGTCGACGCCGCCATGCGCCAACTGAATCACTGCGGCTACATGCACAATCGCAGCCGGATGATCGTGGGTTCTTTTCTCGCGAAACATCTCCTCCTCGATTGGAGGATGGGCGAGAGATATTTCATGGAACATCTGATTGATGGCGATTTTGCGAGTAATAACGGGGGATGGGGATTCTGCGCTAGTACGGGGGTAGATCCGCAGCCGTATTTTCGAATCTTTAACCCGCTGCTGCAGAGTGAGAAATTCGATGCAGAGGGTGAGTATATCCGCAAATGGGTCGAGGAGTTGAGGGGGGTCAAGGGAAAGGCGATTCATGAACCGTATGGAGATAAAGAGGCGGCGAAGATGGCGAGGAAAATGGGATATCCAGAGAGGATTGTGGAACATAAGGTTAGTAGGGAGAGGTGTTTGAAGAGGTATAAGGAGGGGTTGGGGAGGGCGAATGCGTAGGGTGAGTAGTAGTAGGATTAACAGTATTGGGATTGAGAATGGTGGGAAGTTGTGTTATAAGATATAAATATAAACTAGTAGTGACAATGAATCAATAAATCAACAAATTAAATCAACAAAGTAAAGTAAAGCAGATAAAAATACAACTTAATCCTCCTCATCAATCCCAAAATCTAAAATCCAAAGCCCTAAAATTCGAGCGCAGCGAGCAAAAGGGGGTTTGGGGGCTTGCCCCCATGAGGAATAAATGAATCAATAAATAAATAAACAGCTTTGATTAAAATACCTATCTATGGATATCTACTCTGATGTGGATATAGAGTGAGAGATAGATAGATAGAAAGTAGAAAAGTAGGAAAATAGGAAAGAAAGTAGGAAAGGAAGTAGGAAAGTAGGAAAGTAGGAAAATAGAAAAGTAAAAAAATAGGAAAATAGGAAAATAGAAAAGTAGAAAAGGAAGTAGGAAAGTAGGAAAGTAGGAAAGTAGAAAGTAGAAAAATAGGAAAATAGAAAAATAGAAAAGTAGGAAAGTAGGAAAATAGAAAAATAGAAAAGAAAGTAAAAAGTAAAAAGATAGAAAAATAAAAGATAGAAAGATAAAAAGATAAAAAAATAGAAAAATAAAAAAATAGAAAAGTAGAAAAGTAGAATAAAAAAAAAATAGAAAAATAAGAAAATAGAAAAATAGAAAAATAGAAAAGTAGAAAAGTAGAATAAAAAAAAATAGAAAAATAAGAAAATAGAAAAATAGAAAAGTAGAAAAATAGAAAAGTAAAAAAATAGAAAAAAAGTAGAAAAAAAAATAGAAAAATAGGAAAGTAAGAAAATAGAAAAATAGGAAAGTAAGAAAATAGAAAAATAGGAAAATAAAAAAATAAAAAAATAAAAAAATAGGAAAATAGGAAAATAAAAAATAAGAAAATAGAAAGTAGGAAAATAAAAAAATAGAAAAATAAGAAAATAAAAAAATAGGAAAATAGAAAAATAGGAAAATGGGAAAATAGAAAAATAGAAAAGTAGAAAAATAGGAAAATAGGAAAGGAAGTAGGAAAGGAAGTAGGAAAGAAAGTAGGAAAGGAAGTAGGAAAGGAAGTAGGAAAGGAAGTAGGAAAGGAAGTAGGAAAGTAGAAAAGGAAGAAGGGAAGTCGAGTAATAAAATCAAATAAGTATAAAGTATATAATCAAAATCAAAATCAAAATCAAAATCAAAATCAAAATCAAAATCAAAATCAAAATCAAAATCAAAATCAAAATCAAAATCAAAATCAAAATCAAAATAAAATCAAAATCAAAATCAAAATCAAAATCAAAAGAGTCGAGTATCTACCTAGGTAGGTAATCGAAAAAGTATTGGTATTCGCTTATTTAACTCATCTAACTACCTAATCTCCTAGTATCTCCAGCTACCTATGTAGGTACATACGTACAAACTAGGTATGGTATGATATGGTATGGTATGGTATGGTATGGTATGGTATGGTATGGTATGGTATGGTATGGTATGGTATGGTATGGTATGGTATGGTATGGTATGGTATGGTATGGTATGGTATGGTATGGTATGGTATGGTATGGTATGGTATGGTATGGTATGGTATGGTATGGTATGGTATGGTATAGTATATATGTAGCCATCATAAAAAGCTCGCTCGCATACAAGAGATCAAGATATCAAAATGCGATTCAGTCCCAAAAAACAAAATAAAACAAAACAAACAACCCAACCCAATCCAACCCCATTCATCCATCGCTATGCAATGCAATATATCAAAAGACCTTAATCCGTATCATCTCATTTCATCTCATCTCATCATCTGATCTCGTCAACCCCATCACGCACCAAAAACCCCCTTGACTCTCCTCACCAATTCCCTACCCATTTCATTTCTTCCCTCTCTCGTTCTCCCCACCGCATCTCGATTCTCATACGCTCTCCTCAAAAGATATTTCATACACTCCCCAGTAGTTCCCCAAGTCAAATACTTATAAGCCTTTGGAATATCCGTTTTCAGATGCAATTGATCTTTTCCCCCCTTGGTTCCGCCAATCAATTCATTGATTCCTCCATGAACTGTAACTTTTGAATCCTGCGCATGTGAAGAATTCATCGATTCGGCTAATTTTCCCTCCGCGACAAGTTCGCAGGATACTTCATCTGCCATACCTTGCAATTGTGCATAGCATAATTCGATGCGCTCTTCGCCCTTCTCAGCCTGTTCGGTACGAATCACCTGTGCCTTTCGAACCGATTCCAAATTGTGACCTGCGAGCGCCAAATCCACAGCTTGGAATGTTTTTTCCGCTCCATTTTCCGGTTTCAGAATCGCATTGGGAGTTTGACGAATCAATGCCTCGGCAATGCCATCATAACATTCATCTGTTTCGCGTTTGGTATCGTGGATTAATTCGCGCGGATCCGATCCCATGTACGCGCCTCGAACTAATTTGACTCCGAGGGTGAAGTTTTCCTTTTGCGCGATGGCCATGTGGTTTGCGACGACTTGGGGACAGGCTTTGAGATATGCTTGATAAGTGCCATAGATAACTGCTCCTCCTTTGCCGGGTTTATTATATCTCTTCATGTATTTCAATGTCCAAAGATCAATCCCCGCTTGCACAGCAGCATGTTCCGCATCAAAAGCTAATTTGACACCTCGTTCTGCACCCAGAGCACAAATATCATCAATCGCCTTTTTGAGTGTATCATGACAAACTCCCTTTGCTTCCAAAGCCTGTAGAGCTAAACTTCCCGCTCCAGTAACCTTGATGGAAACGAAATCTCCCGGACCAGCTAATCGAACAGTCGCCAAAGTACCTTCGGCCCAAGGTAAAACTTCATTCTTGACACATTTCTCCACATCGATATTGGCACCTGGTGATTTCTCAACTTCTCTTGCATAACAGAGAAAAACGCCTTTGAAACCAAGATCTTTAATTCCGCGAACCGTCTTTTGAACTTCGGCATGGGTTTCACCAGCACAAAATTGTTTGTAAAAGGTATTTTTGAGGAAGAATCGTAAAACGGGATTGCGATCGGGTGATAAGATGGGATTTTGAGAATGAGCGAGGATGGTCATTATTTTGAGGGATGGTGCGAGAAGTAACTATTATTAAAGGATGGAATGGTTAGTAAAAGTTTGATACATAAGTGTAACATAAGTAGTAAAGAAAAAACTAATAAAATAGATAAAAATGATTAAATCAAAATGACTCAATCAAAACGATTAAATCAAAATGACGCTCCGCTGGCCCTCCGGGAGCCACTGCCGTGGAGGCTTTTTCGCTTCGCTCTAGAATTAAAGGGGGAATATTTAAAGTACTCAGATAGTAGATAAGACTTACAGGAGAAGAAGAAATAGTATTGATAACCAAAGATCTTACAACATTACTCAGAGGTAATATTGAAAGCGGACTAATCTTTGGCATAGTAGCTGATTTAGATGTTGAATCCGTATTGGATTGTATTGGATGAAGAACATCCGTAGCAGCAGAAGCTGAAGTGGGACTTCCAGTATAAGTAGATTGAAGAGGGGATGTTCTAGAAGATAATCTTCTATAATTTGAAGGTGCAATCAGGAATGGTCTTCGAGAACATAGTAATGCTTTCCGAGATATCAAGTTCGACATGATGGAAAGTGTGAAGGAGTTTTGAAGTCGATAAATAGACAAATAAAGGTATCAATACGGCTTTATGTTTCTCTTTCTGTGGCCCGGTTTCCTCTATGTTGCGCAATGAATACTGACTGACTGCGAGAAGGACTGATATGTACAAACAAACAGGAATGAAGGGAAAGAAGAATAGAGAAGGAAATCAGGATCGATGAGGAATTTAAATAGGAAAAGAGAACTTGGGAGATACAAAAGAATTCAAGGAGAAAATGAAGAAGAAATCAAAGCAGCGAAATCGGAGGTGTGAGTGAATGGTAAGTACGGTATCAATAATCAATAATCAATACCTAATCAAACATATACAACACAGCGAAGAGACGAGGAGGGGACATGGAAATGGACATGGAAATGGAAATGATGAAGCTTATCGATAACCCCAAACCAACATGCCGTCGACAACCATGAGATCCAAGCTTATCGTGAGTATATCAGGATATCCACTTTGAAATCCATCCATATGATTGGTTGAATTGACTTTCTTTCAATGCTCCCAAGAGTTGTGGGAATTCTACAACCGATGGAAACCGAATGGATGGTGCTTTGATGTCGGTGATATGGACAAGATGGAGTAAACTAACAAAAACTATTCGAATATTGACGCCGATATAACTCAACTATTACCTTTATATTGGAGATGAAGATGTTTTATCCTCAATCATGATCCGAGAATCGAAGAGAGGAATGGAGATGAAAAGTCTGGAATGAATAATGAAGTGGATATAATTACCATTGAATTACCATTGAATTTCCATTTATTATTATTTTTATCATCATCATCATCATCATCATCACCATCCATCTTTTCTTCTTCTTATATTGTGGTCTTTTCGGCATCTCTCAGTCTCAGATCTTCTTCTTCCTTTCCTCCTCCTCCTCTTCCTGTCGTTCCTCCGGTTAAGAAATCTATATATCCCAATCTTCTACCTCTTGCATAACCAACGGCATCTTGTAATAATCCATATCCTATACCAAATGCCAATCCTGTTTTGGCGGTTCTGGCGGCGGTGATGATAGGGAATCGATCTGGGGAGAGAAGAGGAGTTAGTATTGATCATTCCTCAATTATATTGAACCTTCTCCCATCAATCATCCGTCTTTTGCCCTTTCCCATTTACGTTTGCCAACCCTCCCCCCATACCAAGGGAGAAATTGGCAACGCATCAATAATACCATTGGTGCAATAATCCATTGATTCATATTGAAATCACAACTCCGCACACAATCACAAGCAAAAGCAAAAGCACAACTCCAGAAACCAAATACAACCCCTCAAATACAAACCCTCAAATAAAAAGAAAAATAAAGAAAAGAAAAGAAAAGAAAAGAAAAGAAAAGAAAAGAAAAGAAAAGAAAAGAAAAGAAAAGAAAAGAAAAGAAAAGAAAAGAAAAGAAAAGAAAAGAAAAGAAAAGAAAAGAAAACAAAACAAAAGAAAACTCACTCCATAAACTAAACCCTCCCGCAACACTCAAACTAGCCACCACAGTATTGACCACATCCTTCTTCCCCCTCCACCGATCACACATATCCTCAATAGCCAACAATCCCGCCGTCCAAAACGCAATCCTCCCTCCCATCCTCAACCCCTCTTTCACCCCCCCAAGCCCCGTATTATAATTCTTACTCTTATGATACAAGTACCACCCCGTCGGCGACGTCGGCAATCGATGCGCATTCTCGGCGCGGAAACGTAACGATGCAGCTTGAGAACCGTGGGAGATTCCCAGCGCCATGCCGCAGAGAAAAGATATCGATGTGCAGAGGGGGAGGCGTGCGCCGTAGGGTATGGACATGCGGGAATCGAGGACGAGGGCTTCGTGGTGAGCTTTGCGCCAGGCTTTCATTTGGGCTTCGAGAAGTTCTTCGGGGGTTGGGGGAGGGTCGGTGAGATCTGTGGTTGGAGGAGAGGGAGTTGAGGAATCCATGGTTTTGGAATTGGGTTGTTGATTGCTTGACTGATTGACTGATTGACTGATTGACTGATTGACTGATTGACTGATTGACTGATTGACTGATTGACTGATTGACTGATTGACTGATTGACTGATTGACTGATTGACTGATTGACTGATTGACTGATTGACTGATTGACTGATTGACTGATTGACTGATTGACTGATTGACTGATCGACTGTTTGATATTACGGACTGAAGATTGAAGTACAATGCCGTGCCAATAGACCAGTGAGGTTGTATTGTATTGTATTGTATGAGTAGTATATTATATCAAATCAGAAGAATACAAGGCTGGAGAATGGAGAAATCACTTTTTTAAAGATCAGCTGCTTTCGCGAATTTGATAAAGCTTATCGCGTCGCAAAAGACATTTGAAGCTGATGCCTGTCTATTCTCAATCCGCCTACTGGTACTTATCATCTATCTTCTGTCTTCTGTCCATCCATCTCTTACAAAGAAAAATAAATCTCAATCGAAAACTAAAATTACCACAAATATCTCAGACGGTCCTGGGCATTATATTGTTCAATCAATAATAAATCATCACACACCTTTTCAGTCTGATTCGAATTCAATTCAATTCAATCCATATACGAGTATACAACCCAACAAAACCTAACAAACCAACCCTCAAAATGGTAAGCTAACCTCTCCCCTCCTCTCCCTTCCCTCTCCACCTCATCTCCAAAACTAACTCTCCCCTCTCTCCCACCAGCCACCCAAACGCAAACTCAGCACCTTCGACCCACCCAGCGACACAAAACTCACCCTCTTCCTCAAACACACCGTCCACACCATTCTCCTCCTCGTCGCACCCACCCAAACCTTCCCACAAATCCTCACTCTCCTACTCTCCACCCTGCAGGAACGTTACCCAGATGGCCTCTCCCCTCTCCCTTCCCCCGGCAACCCCGCAGGAAAATCCACCACCACTCTCTCCTCCACCACCACCACCCTCACGGAGCGCAAAATCCCCCTCCCGGACTCGGTCAAAAATATCGCCCTGGCCGTTCCGCTCGATGTGCATGATCTCAAAGCTGGATGGACGGAGTTGCAGTTGGGATTGGGGGATACGCCGGAGAGTGTGGGGGTGAAGGAGGGAGGGGTGTTGGCGTTTCGGTTTTTGAGAGAGGATGGGGAGGAGGAGGAGGAGGATGGAGAGTTTGAGGTGGCGTGGCCGAGTTATGAGATTTATGATGAGGGGGATGAGGATGCGGATGAGAGGACGTTGGCGGGGGGTGAGGAGGAGGAGCTTTAATGGGGTGGGCTCGAGATGGGAAGGTGATGAAGGGGATGGAAGGGGATGGGATTTGAGATGATGGGGAGAAATGGAATTGGTATGGAAAATACAATGGATGATGAGATCTGCGCGCGGATCTTCACGAGGATGATAGTGTGTACTGGAAAATAATAATGCTGGCGTTATAGGTATGGAGTGGAATGGAATGGAAGGGATATTCTTTCAATCATGAATTAAATGAGTACGAGAGTATGAGAGAATGATTATGAATCACATGCGTTATACAGTATATAATGATATGGTGGATGCAAGCATGCATGACATCCATATCTATTCATAGCTGTTTTTTTTTCTTCTTCAATGAAATCGTACAGTTGTTAAACTTATATTGTTAAATTGTATTGATCTTTTTTTTTTGTTTTTTGTTTTGGAGATACTACGTAGGTAAGGTTAGATAGGTATTATTCGTAAAATAGATTCACATCTTATGGTACACCAGGATAATAGAATGATTATCAGTTATTGTCATTTCAAGATTTCGGGATGTGTAATGGTTAGAATTGGATTGGATTGGATTGGATTGGACTAGATTGGATTGTAGTTGATTGGATTATAGTTGGATAGGTACTTGTAATAAGGTTATGAGATATTTGTAGTAAGGTTATGAGATACTTGTATTGTAATATAAGGGTTGAAGTTGGATGTGTGAGGTGAGAGTAGTTGGAATAGGGGAAAGTTGTTGGATTTAATTCTGTAGATATTTAGATACTTATGAGTTAGATAGTAGGGAGATAGGTAGGTATGGAGGTAGGTATGGAGGTAGATAGGGGGTTTATTGTTTTTGTTGAATTAGAAGTAATGGCAATGGCAGTGTTTTATTTTAGTATTGGTGTTGATGTTAATGCTATATTTCATGTGATTTGTACTGTGTGTTGAATTTTGAGTGTTGTGTGTTGAATGTTGTGATTGGGTTGGAGATGGGATATGATGTGATGTGATATGATGATCTTTATTGTTGGATTGCAGGTTGGATTGTTGGATACTCTATGTTGTAATCACGGTATCATATATATGTGTGTACGATATATGTACATATTCACCCCTACTCCCCTCACAACTTCGCCCCATTTTCTCTATCCCCCCTCTCCTCCTCCAAAACCTCCCTCCTCTCTCTAACCTCCACCTCCCTAGGCCCCTCCTTCCCAAACCTCACAAGCACAACTCTCTTCCCATCTCCTTTCCTCCCCCTCCCCTCCAATTCCGGACCCTGTCCATCCAATCCCAATATCACCCTCCCATCCCCATTTTTCCTCTTGACCCCCAACGAAAGCGGACTCATGACTTTCTCGCCCCAGAAAATTCCCGACCCATCGCCTCCGTCTCCTTGCAGGAATTGCAAGACTTGCCTTCTTTGCGCGGAGAGTTCGTCTATGGAGAATGTGGAATTGGTATCGCTTCCTGCGGGAAGCAAAAATTGAGAAAGCAATTCCATGAGATAGAATTGTGGGGGGAAGAGAATGATTTCTCCCTTTCGCGCTTTCTCGAGCCATGTAGAACAGTAGGCGAATTCGGCCGCAGTGTGTTCGATGCCGCCGTCGTGGGTGGGGGTTGTGTGGGTGTCTTTTTCTTTTTCTGTTCCTTGGTTTGTGGGAATACTCTCAGTTTCTACTTCCGTCGAGGATGAAGATAACGGGAGAAAATAAATGTACATCTGGGTGGTGAAACGTTTTGGGAGATTGGAAGGGGTGATCCACCGGGTGAATGGATGGAGAGAATCGATATCGGGGATTCCTCCTTGTTGGGCTAGCCAGGTTGAGAAATTGATATTCCTGGAATGGATTTCCTTTCTTGCGCGCGAGATTTCTTTTTCTTCAATGTGGAGGGTTTCCTTTTGGGAGATTTTTTGCTCAGGGTTTTGAGGGGAAGGGGATGGGGAAGGGAGAGCGAGGAGAATTCCGCTCTCTTCGAAACATTCCCGGATAGCGCCGAGACGGTATATCTCGGAATCTACATGACGGGAAGGAGAGGAGGGAGGGGGGATGGGTGATTCGTGGTAGGGATCGAGGTTTCCACCTGGGAAGACGTGGGCGGAGGGGAAGGAAGAGGAGGTGCGGATACGATGGAGGAGGAGAATTTGGTTTTGGGGGGAGATGAGGAGGATACTGTGGGGGGTGTTAGTTGGAGTGAAGGCACGTGAGGGTATGGTATGAGAATGAGATAAGAATAGAAGAAAGTGGAAATGGTAAAGATATATCACACACCTCGAACTAGGCTGTGGAACAGCAATCTCTTTCTTGGCTTTCCTATCTACTTTAGAACTACTAGTAGATGAAGTATATTGTTTTTCCAAATCAGACTTCGGAGATCGAGAGCCGGGTGATGTCATATTTCTCGGTCTTCTCCCTATTCTGGAGAATATTCCTTGACTTTGGGGAGATGTAGTGATTCTCGTGGTGTGGAATAATCTACAATGTGATTGTGATCTTCTCACTGGTAACGTTCTGAAGGTGGAGAATTGAAATGCTGATGGAGTGATGACTTTATATATACTTCTAGATACCAATGGAAATGGCACTGGAACTGGAATTGGAAATGTAAAGCAAGAAGTATGACAGAAATGTGTTATAGACATTGAAACTCGAGAAGCATGAATAGAGCCACGATTAGAAATCAAGATAAAGGGGTCGCGGATAGGAAGCTTGCACGTGCGGGGAGATGCGCGTAGAAAGAAGCATTTCCGAAAATCTGGGGAAGCTTAAGGTTAATGGACGTGTGAGCCGAGCCGAGGTTTGGAGGTCGGGGATGGTCTGTGCTTATATTGTAAGTTTCTTAAGGTTGTGGTGAACGAACGACATATTGAGACTCTGAGGAGAGAAAACTATTATTTAATTTGATTGGAAGATTCTTGACGTGGAGACTTGAGAGGGAAATTGGAGAGGACAATGAATATAGGTATGGAATATTGATTTTAACGATAGTCCTTTGCTGTCCATCGAGTGTATGGTTGAGTAACGTTGGACTTTAGTTCTGTGGTAGGTTCGTAGGTAGCCTTCGTTCTCAAGTTGTGCGATAAACATATAGCTATGTACCTGATATCTGCATCAAACGTCTCTCTGATACAATCTCAGATTCTTCCCGCTCAGAACCCAATGTGTGGGTTGGGTGTTAGCACCACAGCATACTAGTTACCATGCCGAGGATCGTTCTATCCCAGATCCACAAGAAAGCCTCCTCAGATGTAGTTAGCATCATTGAAATCGTTTTACATAAATGAAAATTGTTCTTGTAATGTCAAGTAAAATCAAAATATGTTAAAATGTATTTGTTGTTATCAGCATCTAAGCTAGAAGATTTCTTGCTTCGGTACTGTAGTTCAAGAGAAAGTATCAAATCGAATATCCATCCATCCTAGATCTCAGTAAGACGTTTTGCTAGTGCCCTATTCATCTCCATCGATCACTTCCGAACACTTCTCGTGCAGAATTTTTTCCCCCAAACTGTAGAAGCAGGTCCGGCCTGCAGTTGCAGCAACCCTATCCAATCCCTCCCCTTTCCCCAACAACCAGAAAAAATGACATCATCTACCTCCCCCTCTCTCCCATTCATTCTTCAATTTACAATGTCCCATCCTCTCATAATGCAACTTCTCTCTCGCTCCAACTCCTCAATCCAGAATTTGGTTTGGTGCAATACAGTTGTATACATGATGATGACTACGAGAGCTTTGCTAAGTAATACCAAATGATTTGTTGCCTCGGAGAGAGAAGTTGGATTGTTGTAGTAGTGTTGTGCGGCGCAATAAGGGATTATCGAAAGGGCTCCGGAGATTATGAGCTAGGGTATATATTAGTCTAGGATTTCTTTGATCGAGAGGTGCAGAGACTAAGAATAAGGATGAAAGGGAGAAAGAGATTGGAGAAGGCAGGAATGTGACAGCAAGGCTGGGATTATATACATACATAAATGTTAAGCTTAACTCTCGTCTCAGAAGTCATATCTTTTATTGCCGCGACAAATTTCTCATTCATCTGATGTCGCATATTACCCAAGCTTCTCGGAGATTGATTCTCAGGGATATTCTGGAGACCGTGAATATCAGTGAGATGAGTGGTGCGAAATTTTCTGTAGTATCAGTGTTAGCGTATGATTCCATATTGGCAATTGGGAAAGAGAGAGCTACGTATTTCGATCCTTGGCATATATCCGATTTTGAACCTCTTGTGCGGTGGTCCTAGTCTTCATTCCCCATTGCGCGGAATAGCTTTCGTCAAGTTCCTTGCTGGTGCGAAGAAAGTAGAAGATGAGTGATGTGATGAAGAATACACAGCCAGTAATCGCAGCCCAAGAGTAATTGGAGTCGCGGAATCGAAAGAGTATGTTGACTATGACGAGAATAGGAGCAATCAGAATGGCGATGAAGGACTAGAAGGTGTATTAGTAGGGAATCGAGATTTGGAGCAATAACGTAGTGAGACGTAAAGGAAACCAAATTACCCAAAGGAGAATTTGTGCAACTTGATAGCTCATGGATGAACCATGGTATGCTTCTTGCTGCAGATACTCTGCTGACATGATGTATTCATTTTCGATGGAGTCATCTTTATGGAGTGTTGCATGAGCTACGCTGTCGACTTTTGATTCCGAAGGTTCAGCGCTTTTGATCTAGATGGAGGTAAGTAAGTACATGTTGTTGGTAATAGTATACTAGGCTTAAGTAAATCCGAGTTGGGGAGTATGAGATAGACTCACTATGCTTGGGTAAACCCTCGAGTTAAAGATGATACCGAACACCTGTCTAATAGAAGATTTATAGGATTCCATCATGGATTTACTCTTCTATCAGGCTCTATGTCAGCAAAGTTGTCAACATCAAGGGATGAAATTGTTGTAGCAAATATACAACTGAATTCCTAAAAGCATCTCTGGAAATATCAAAAGAGAAACCCACCTTTGAAGGTTAACTTGTAGAAGTATCTTTGTTATGAGAAAGTTCAAACGTGCTGTATGTATGTAGGATGCCTGCTAATATAAAGTTCAAAGTCGATGTAAGTATCTTTGTCCTGTACGGAAAGTTCAAACTTATTGCGATACTTGTTGTTGTGTTGTGATAGTAAAAGCAAGGCGGCTCGAAACAGCAAATGCCTTTATGTCTCTTTTCAAAAGATTCGCTTTCTTTCACCACTTCTTTAAGATCCAACTATGAATCTCCAGGTCTAGGAACAGCACATATGTCTATTAGTAATTCCCGATGGGAGATTCTACCTAGAGAATGGCATGGAGATCTCATTACCTAGGTACCTAGGGAGTGTCACTATGCTTTGGACGAGAGAAAATTCTGTAAGAAAAAATGAATTTTTCTCGGTTGCTCCAATCGCTTGCCTGGGTTACAGCAGGCGTTAGAAAGTGAATGTTTCCAAGGTTTGCTTTTTGATATTTCATATCGATACCTTCCCCGCACAGAGAAGAATTTGCTTGGCGATCTGGTGCCCCTGGGAGAAGCTTTCGAATCGACTGGCCGTTTGGGGTGAATTCTGAAGTCTAGCAGAGAGATTAGATTGGTAGTTACGTGTAGGGCTAATCGAAAAGATTCCATGAGCATCTCTGGATAAGTTCAACATGTGATGGATTCCAGAATTATCTGATATAGTAATGCTTCTTATAAAGCGTATGTAAGCGTTACTTGATAAGCCAAAGTGAGCTATGGCCTGTAAAGGACTGTATAATTATATCACATCAATTCTCTCATTGAAATGTTGAGCTCGCCCCTTTGTTTCTAGATTAACGAACTTTCGCTTGATCAATAGACTGTTCTTTCTTAACATGCATTTCTGAATCCCATTCATTGGATTCCTACATGCATCTCTTATTAGCATGATTTACTCCCAGTCTACAGAATGAGCAATCAACAAAAACATCCATATCACAAGTTACGAAAGACTTCTCGTGTCACTTCTACTGGAACCTAGATGATCGAAACCTATTATGCCGAGCTAATCTGGAAGCCATTCATCATGAATGTCAGATGGTTGACTGGGATGGAGCGATAGATCGAAATCAAATAACTACCTCTTTCACCACTATCCAGTTTAAGAATGACAATCCTGTGCGGATTCTGTGCCCTTCAAAATCTGTTATCCTTCAGCCATATATTTCTCATCAGGAATCTTCTAGATGTGGAGTCCAAGTAACCATTGTCTCTTCATTCATGTGAGCAATAGGGAAAAGAAACTTCTTTCAGATGGTCTTGAATTCTCGTGCACTTTTGTATAACTATAGGCATATGATTGCTCTCTTTGATCAATATTGAAATAAAGATATACTGGCACTTGAAGTTCAAGTTCTTTTATTCATCTGTTTGAGCCAAGACTTCTGTCTTATTCTTATGAGTTCCCCACGCCATAGTTCTCTTGCCTGAACACTCTCATTCAAGTCCATTAATTTATCTGTGTATTCTTTCGACTCTATCATGCAGTTTCCCTTTCCCCGTTCACTCGCCAATTCCTCCGGTAAATTAATCGTGGTGACTATCGTTGTCGATGTCAATTTATAACTTCAAATACGATCACCTGGGTAAATCAAACGATATTATTTTCGGCGACAACTCACATGTCTGTCTACTGATCTCAGAATTTCAACGAGAAAGCTACTATGATCTGAAATGATGGATAATACTGAATATTGTTTTGCTCTTCTCGTGACATAGTTCATGCTGATGTAATTTGGTGCAGCTTGCCAATAATAGATTGTATATCTTTGAAGCAGTTAGACAAGAAGAGCTGTGGGCGGGAGCTTGCGCGGCATTGTGATGGACGACTTGAAGATTGAACCTCAAAATTCGAAGCACCGCGTTTTTTCTCTTGAGATGAGATTTCAGTAATATGCCAAGCTGCTGCGGCAGATTGATGCATGAAAAATCATTTTATTTGCGATAGAGGTCAAAAAATATGAAGGTATTGTGCATTATCAATGTCTCGTCACTAGGTATCTAGGCTAAAGAAGGCCCGTGAGGATCACCCATTCTCATTTTGGTGGACTTGAGAAAGAACTTTCCTAGATATTCATACAAACATCATGTTATATAAGATACTCTGTGACCTTTATAACTCTACATGAATTGGTTTAATGCTTCCCGGCAAAGCAGTACTACATGCCTAATTTCGACATACACTCGGCAAGGTAATAATACCCGAGCCGAGGTGCACCGTATTGATGTAGCCCGAGAAACTCCCCACGGATAGGTTACGGCCATCTACCTTTATCCAGTCTCAGATTTCACCAGCGAATATGTGATGTATTTAATTAAATACACTGCGTTTGAATTTAGTTGATAAAAAGTTGTAGATCTTCTTGTTTCGTTAAAGTTTGAGCTAGCTTACACTAAAGAAAGTAAATCTCAGCCCTAAATAAGATGGAATGTGGGGTCGCCGTTTGACTCACACCTGACTACTGCATGCGTGTAAACTCAGACTTCACTACATGCACCTTCCCCCCTTAATTTATATCGTATTATCGTGTATAAAACAAACACATTCTTCTCGAATTATCCAATCTTCACTTCACTTCAAGTAAAATTCTGATTCTACTCAAATTTTCATTTCCCTTCAATTTTCTTGTAATAATAACACACACAAACCTCCACGATGAGTAACAACGGGCCACTATTTTTCTGGCACCCAGATGATGCCGAGTATCCTTTCCTATCTCAGCATTACATATGTGAGTTCACGGATGAGAATGGTCGTACTTTTACTTCAACTGAGCAGTTGGTTTCCCCCCTTTCCCCAAAGTTTCTATTACTTATAACTTCCAGGTGGATGATGTTCCACAAAGCTCTCCATTTCAATGACATTCCCACCTCGATCGAAATTCTTGAAACGACGAATCCTAGAAAAATCAAATCTCTGGGCCGCAAAGTCAAGAACTTTGATGAAAAGGAATGGAACAAAGTTAAATTCAACATAGTCATTCAAGGAAATGTATTCAAGTTTTCGAGGGGAGGAAAAGAGCTGAGAGAACAGTTAGAGAGAACGGGGGATAGAGAACTGGTAGAAGCAAGTCCGTATGATAAGATTTGGGGCATTGGGATCAAAGGGGGAGTGAAGGAATGTCAGAGGCAGGAGAGGGATGGGACGTTGGATGGAAAGAGAAAGGAATGGGGGAAGAATCTTTTGGGTTTGGCGATGGTGGAGGCTAGAAGGTTGATTAGAGAGAAGGAGAAGAGTGAGAGAAGAGAGTGATATTCACTTGAATGGGAATACTTCAGCTCATACAGATTGAGACGATAAGTAAGTGTCTACGGGTCTTCTGGAAAGTTTAGATGAGAGTTACTACATGTCTTCATCTGATATTAATATTTCATTATCAGATATCACTTCTCGAATTACTATGGGAAAGGTCTGATCTTTGCAATGGCGCAGTATTTCTAGAAATATCTCATCCCAAGCTTCACTTTCATTGTTGTAAATAATCTCAAAACATTGAAGAATTGGCACAAGTACTCGAAGCTAAGGCGCGCTTCCAATTTTTATCTGGGTTCTCGTTTAAAACTCATATATCTTCACCTCTTCCCGCTTTTCAATAATTACAACATCAACCACGATTGTCAAACAACCACTTCAATCAACACAATGGCAAATCACGATTTACTAGCAAATCCTCTTGCAGTTCGCAATCCAAATCCTCTCAGTCTCATTCCTTACTCTGTCGCTACTGGATATTACTCTGAAGAAAGTAAAGATGTTTATCTCACTTACTCCAATATCTACCCACACACCCACGTTCCCGGCATTCCTTCGCCTTACAGTCAAGAACAACTTGAAAGACGCGCTCTCTATATCACTGGTATTCCACCAGAATGGTCAACTCCAGCTTTTCGCTCAATATTCGAACTCTATGGAGTTGTCGAAAAATGCCCCATGATCTTCGATCTGGCATCCAAATCTACCTTTCGCTTTGTGGTTATGAAAAATACGGAAGATTGTCTCAAGGCAAAAGATTCAATTCATGGTTTTACGTTGGATAATAATACGATTTACACAACTGAGGCATTGCCTTCAAGCTCATTGTTGAGACTTTATAATTTGGGTTTGGATGGGTTGGGGTTGAACGTCGATCAGTGCTTGAATATCTTGGAAAACAATCGGGTTGCTGAGGATTTTGAAGTCGGTGATTTGGATGCTACCGATCAAAATGTCGCACTTAATACACAATACGTCTATACCAGCGGCACTCTTGATCAAGCACCAATCATGCATGGTCACCCATCTCCTCGAACCAAATTACCTATCGTCAAAATCCGAGCAGCAGACTCTGAAACCGAAGTCGAGTTTCCACCTCCAAATATGATTCGCAAAAACAGACCTGCACCCTTAAACCTCATCGGAGCAAACAACATAACATCTCGCCGCATCTCACCTCTCTTACCTCCTCAATCACCATTCCCAACCCAAACCCACTTCGAATCCATCTCCGAAAACTCTGCGTCCAGCCCCTCGGATTCCCTCACCCCCACCCCCACCCAAACCGCCTTCAAAACCCAAGTCTCAACCTGGGCCGCCATCGTCAGCAGCGCCTCTCCCAACCACCGAAACGTCGACTTACACCCCTCCACCCCCCGCTCAGGCCGTCGTCTCAACAGCATCGGACGCATCCCCTCCCTCCCCGCCTCCAAACCCATGATCCACGAAGCCCTCTCCCAACAAGCCCGCGTCGTCCTCATCCTCAACATTCCCTCCACCATGACCCTCTCCGATATCTCCAACGCCATCCACGAAGGCCCCATCGTCTGCATCCGCTTCGGCATCGATTCCGACACCGGAAAACGCTTCTCCGGTATCGTGTTCCAGCATGCTTCCGATGCGCAATCTTTTCTCTCCGTGCTTCTCGCGGAACGAGAAGCTCAAGCCCCGAATCGCTTCAGATTTATCGCGGATTGTGTGCGCGGCGAACCGTTTCCGATCAATGACGATATCATCTCGATGAGCGCACCTACTTTCGCATCACGCAGATTGACAATCGTAAAGAAGGCATTCTTTTTTGCATTCACGGGACGCAATCTTCAAACCCTGTGCGAAAAAGAAGTTGGGCGCGAGAATGTACAATTGGTGTTTGTGTATAATGGGGGGAATGCGACGGTGGTTTTTGCAGAGGTGAGCGCGGCGCGGAAGATGAAGAGCAAACTTGAGAGGTTGAGGGAGGGGGCTGGGAAGGTGGGTGGCACGAGTAGTATTTATGAGGGGTTGCAGGTTACGTTTAGTAAGGATCCGTGTGAGTTGGAGGGGGGCTTGAATTTGCAGGCTGCGGATGGGTACTGTGCTTAAGGGGAAAGTTGGTGGGGAGTGAGAGTGGTCTATGTGACAAAATGGCATCCGATGGAAGGTTTGCTTTGCTGAATGGCTTTTCTTCCGCATTTATTGCTTGGTCTCAAGTCGACACGCTCGATGGTCGTGATTATTGCATTTTTCACATTTGTCCAAATTGTTTTCTTGAAGCGGAAGATTGATTATAGCCATGTTTTGAGTCGCTTAAGCGTTCTCTATTTCCTTCATGTTGTATTTTGCGATCGAACTATGGATAGAGATCTTTCGATGGAAAGATGTCTAGACCCATGGTGGATATTTCATTTTGCCTTTCTCTCTAATAACACTCCCCTTCTTTTCCAGGTATCTAGTAAGACCTGGTATCATATTACCGCGGATCACCTTCCGTGGCACCCCTAATTAGTTCTCTTTAACAATGAAAGATAATTCAAATCCCAACCAAACGCCGATTCGTGTAACTGATTTCCGTATCCAAATCGTACAAATACCTACTTGTACAAAATCTCCCCAATGATAACCTATCCAAAAACCTTTTGCCAAAGTGAGACAGGAGGCCTCCTTCCATAAACATGATTTGTACAAGCATCCTCATGACCAAATGTTCCCGACCCACTATGTCTCTGACCACTTCCCCAAACATTAATAGGTAATATACCCAGTCCTCTCAAGTTTTCTTCAACGGCATTTCTATCATTGAAATCCTTAGCCGAAAACCAATAAGGAGATCTTATAGCACGAAATTTCTTCCACGTAACTCTTCTCTCCAATCCTGCATCCATGTCTCGTACTTTGTGTACCTCTTTCAGATTCTCGGTCAACATCTCCAAGACAATATCGGTTAACATGGCACCCCCACAAACTTCCCCGGATTCCTTCGAATCTACTTCTTCTCCAAACAGAGAGGCCATAGAAGAATGTGAAACACATCTCACGATAGCCTTTCTCAATAGCGGATCAAATCTTCCCGGTGCCCACATGGCATAAGTAGCAAAACTAAATGTTCTCGACCATCCCCATTTTTCTCGGATATGGGGAGCCATATATGGTTCATCAATATCGATTCCTAGCACTAGACTTATGGGACTAGATCGCTCGCGCTGTTCTACATATCTCCCCGTTGAATTCGGATATCGTCGCGGCAAGGATAGAGAAGGGTGTTCGATTGAATCCATGTCGAAACATTCTTGGATGCTCATTCGAGGCCAAATATCCGGTTCCAGGTAAAAGCCTCCATGATACCAAAGTAATAACCATCTAAAAAGATCGACTTCGAGTTCTGGATGCATGGAGAGAGTTTGAGAAATCGGAGGTATGGAACGAAAATATGGGAGGATATCTGGACCGGGCGATGTGGTGAATTGTTTTATTTCCCACTGGGGGTTTTTGGTCGCCCACTCTTGTGTCCAGCCTTTCCAAATAGGCGCTTCAGCCGCGGAAGTAATTTGCCATATTTTCTTCGGCGCTCGAATATCTTTTTCGAGCTCGAGAAGGGAAGATGTAATGCTTTCTTCGATTTCGATCAATTGCTTCTCAAGAATAGTTTCTTGTGTGCGATTCGCATGGAGTCGGTAGGGTGAAGCATGTTCGTAAATTGGGGTATCGAGATGTTCATTTAGAGGTTGTTTCGGAGATTCTTGGGGAAATCGAGATTTAATGAGAATGGTAATGAGGAATAAGAGAAATATTGAGTAGAGAAGAGTTCGACATCTGCGAGGATGTGGCAGATGTGACATTCTTGAATTCTGGCATGATGCGAATATAAAAGATTGAAGAGAGAAGAGAAGAAAAGAAAGATATATATAATTGAGGGAAAGGGGGTCAGACGTTTGGATTGTTCGAGATTTGATGTCGCAAGATGTAATGTGGGGCAGGCTAATGTTTCTATTTTTGGATTCGTGGGGGTTAGATTTTCGGAAGATCACGACGTCGACGTCAATTCAATTGATCATTGAGGATATTTCGATATAAATCCCTCTAAAAAATCAATATCCTACCCATTCAATCTCAAATGCGAACGATGTTGTGGTTTCTTTATACCCATATAAAACAACTGCATTAATTTCTCGTCGTTCCGTGTTTGGGCATCTGGAATTGCTACCAACTAAGTGTTGATTCCGCTGAAGTCTCAGTGTTTCGAGAGAACCCTTTCTTGGATTCGCGACGATGAGGATTAGTACACTCACTGTCTATTACTTCTCCCCGCTTATTGCTTGGTCCAGAAGGATATGCCCGTAGGTGGATTGCTGGTATCTATTTTAAATTTCCATGGCTCGAGAGACATCTATCTGCTTCACAGTCACAAGCAACGATATCACTCGCAAGCCCCTTCTTTCTTAAATTTTTGTTACATTCTGGAAAGGGTATTATACAAGTTGACCCCAGATACGCTAAACGCTATTTATCATGATTCTCCAAATCTTGACGATATATGGCTGAAATAAGACGGTGTACTACACAATATGAAAAGACATTGACATCCAAACTTTGGACCTTTACCAGTCCACAATATCCTGATCCCAGGGAAGATCTTCATCCCGAATTTTGGCACAGAAGAAGCCATTTTTGTTACTCTGTGTGCCAGGGCTTCTTTCCTCGCCGACCCGGCCTAAAGTTCGGTCAAGAGCCAAGTTGCTTGATAATAAAGTTAGAAAATTTTGATACCACTCCATAGTGATATTCTTTAACTTTTTAGCTTCTAAACGGTTCATCACTTCTCGGTAATAGATAGCACTCTGGTACTCTAGTACATCATCCATCGTACCATATTTTACCATCAACATTCTCCGCCAAGCCCTCGAGTCTCTGCTAAAAAGATCGATACCACAATCAACTGAATCCCGTACGTGGTCAACACTCTGGAGTGCTTTAATAAAACAAGATTTGATATCTTCGTCGTCGTCGAACTTTGATTGCCAATGTTCTTTGCCAGCGGTACTTTTTGCCTTTGAAACTTCGTAAATTAAGCACTCCCGGAAGAGAACAGGGTGGTGCAGCTGTTTAGCGATTCGAATCAAAGAATCACTGTTTTGACAGATCGTATCAGTAAATCCGGGACTTCTGTGAAATGCGGAATCCAGAGTATGTGAAAGGGCAGGACGGGCACACAAGGAATCTGCCAAGCGGACGATGTCCTTGAAACTTTCAAAGTCGCGAATGGTGTATGGTCTATTGTAAAAAGCGAAGAGTATGGCTTCGAAAGCGCGTCTTTCTCCTTCTTCAGTTTGTGGGGCTACTAGTTTGTTTGTATTCATGAGGTTTCCGGAATTCGAAGTCTACGAAAAATTAGTGTTCATCGCCTAGACGAGAATTGGTAATTTGCAGTCTTGGATTGGTGTGTGCGTACCGGTTTGATTAGTTCCATGAGCCAAAATCCATCTTCATCAACTACAGAGGTAAAATCATAACGAAACTTTCCTGATGGAGTTGCATGGTTCTCTCCCCATTCAAAAGTTGACCGAAAATATTTGGATTTTAGTTTTAAGATAACAGAGTGAGCATAATACACTTGGCCGAAGACATTGAGGCGGACATCATTCACGAAGCCTGGTTGGCGAAGGATTATAGGCTCGGCTGTTCTCTCTTTGCCATCGGCATCGCGCTTTTGTGGAATTGGAAAATTCATGATTAACGATGATAGGTAGTGAAATTGAGGGAGCTCTTTGAAGATTAAGAGTGTAATAAGTAAAGGAATTCGAGAGTGTCTTTTGCAAAGTTTTTGTGGGATGCTCAGTAAATTTCTAAGGGCTCAATCTCTTTTTATCAACCTATTGATTTCCATCTGGACTGGGGTAATCGATTGACGGGTGCCAAATACCTCTAGTCACCGCGCTACATGTTAGTCTTCTAAGCCAGTCTTGACCACTGATGCACTAAGATCAGTGCAGGTACCACTTCGAATTCCAGAAGAGTTTCGAACTTGGGTTATCTTCTAGAATTCTTATTCTCTAAGTTCATCAATTTCATTATCTACAATGTTCTTCGTCAAATTGTCTTTCACGGACCTCAGTGTGACTCTCTGTTAGCCGAGATGTTTTAGAATCTTTGAGAAAATCTCTGAGGAGTGTTTCCAAATTATTTTTTGAATGACGTTTGAAAAAAGCATATAATTAGCGTTTCAATTTCTGCAGGGCTGAAGTGTGTACTAGGTCAAAAAATACTAAAGTTTCAATTGCAGCAGACTTAAAGCCATAGATACCATGTTTGAGATAGAAATTTACTGTGCTTGTCTTAGCCATACTGCCTTTTCTTCACTGTTGCTGAATAAAGAGTATGTCCTACAACGAATAACCACTATCCGAATTTGTCTTCTCTCCTATTATAAAGAGTCCATGATGCTCGTAAAAGCCCTTCGCCATAGATTACGCAAGCCAAGTTGTCTCCCCACGTGATTATTATCCTACGCAGATTTCGATGATGAATTTGGCGGATTGTGCGTTGAAGGTAAAAGGTTTGTGAATAGTATTGAAAATGGTGCCACGCAGATCCAGATTAAGCTTTTCGCGGGGGAACAACTGATTCAAGTACACACAAGCTTGTCAGGATCAAAGCTGTAATAGAGACCCGTTAGATATGCAACAATACTCTTAGAGGACAGAACTTGATACTTGATTGGGTACCACCTAACATGCAATAGTTTGATAGCTTATAGTTCAGTCTAGTTATTACCTTATGCTCAATCTGGTAGTGCAGTGCCTGTGAAAGCTATTCTCGGCAAATTTCACCCGGTCATTGTGTTGCCTAAAGGGGAATAAGTAGATTTGAAAATTAGAGATTGAAATTAGTTATGCCTAGACATCTAGTATTCCAATCGCTTGGATCTACTTCATCCAATTCCCATTACAAGCTTCGCTCAATCTTACATTTCTTTAAAGTGGAATTATTGATTTGTGTATGCCGAGTATTTAATACATTAAGTCCATCGCTAATACTCCAATAACTCCGACAAAACCCGCTGGTGATGAGATTCCTTCTTGAAGCACAAACCCACAACATGCTAACTAACTTCTTTTTAGAGCCGTCCAAAGCCTAATACAAATGGCAAATATTAGTGGCAAGAACATAAACAGCGCTAGTATCATATCCCTCGTGATATTTTATTCTCAGGGATTTTCCTGATAACGTCCCAATGTTTTCGTAGAAAATTTATGTATTGTTCCCCAAGAGATAGACCAGAATTCTTCAACAAACAAAGTTCCTCTGGGCCCAACTTATAGAAACGTATTGGTTTACCAGTGTAGCCAATATCCACAGTGAAAATGTTGCCATGCGGTGCTTCTTTGGTAGTCTTTACCACTTCATGAGAAGTACCACTTGTCGGCAAAACTTCATCACTTTTGATGTTTCTTTTTGTAAGGATAACCAATTCGTTGCCGCTGAATTGTAAGTCGATAGGTTCATGAGGAGAAGGCAAATTGATCTCTCCCACAACCTCACTCTTCGGGCTTATCCTGATAATTCTTGAGGTACCAGCTACTGCGCACCACATATGATCTTGTGAATCCACCATAAAAGCCATTGGATATTCCGTGGGATTTTCGAATTCATAGAATAGCCTATCTTTATCCATTCTAATGATACCTGTCTCTATATCAAAGTCATAAGCGAGTACGCAATTATTTCGCGCGGTCTCATGAATGTATATGGTTTTGTCATCTAAGCTCCAACATATTCCACCGAAACGCCGGCCACACACGTATCGAGGATTGGCTGGTTTCCAGTTCTTATCAAGGTGAAAGAGTTGGCCAGACGAGTTTTTTCCATCATAAGTCATCAACCAAACTCTCCCCTTGCAATCCACGCTGCCCCCAGTGTAACGTACGTTATTAGGTATTTTCATATCTGACTGCGATTCTGGGGGGAAGCATTCAGATACAACTCGAGTGTCCGGCTTTCCTGGGCCATGATAATTTCCTACGAACCCGAACTTATTCTTAGTGGCAACAAAGAGTGTTTCTGGGTATTCTAGCATCTCGGCATAAAACACTGCTTGAAATGGGGTCATTAAAACTCTATAACAGATTGAATCACCTTCTCCCCCGCGAAGATAATCTCGTATTTCTTTGAGTGTGCCTATCACATGTATTCCATTCGAAGCTATCAAGCGGATGATTTCATCGTCCCTGACAAATAGTTTCTTAAAGTCTAGGTTACCGGGAAGTAATGGCTGTATCAACGTCAGTCAGATAACCAATTGATTTCAAAGTTCTCACTACTTACTCCTTCTGCAGACCATGTTGTCACTGAGCCGGACATTTTGGGTTGATTCTAATGAATATTATATTATTTCTGGCTTACTTGGAGTAGAATACATGTTTGATAATGAATGTAATGTATTTGAAATTCATTTTTACGTATTGGAAAAATTGCGACGGTGCGGGTCGAGTGATATGTGAATCAGATACGTGTATAGAAAGAGCGATGAACTAGCGTTGCACCGAGATAGATACAGATCATGCCATATTAACTTCTTTATGAAGTATAGCGAATAGGAAAGTGTGATCACATGGACGATATGACGCTTTCCAACAGTCTTCGATGTGCTAATTTATACTGAATAAAGAGGAAACTCTCGAGGCTCAGATAGTAATAGCGATAGGGTAAGGGTCAATCAATAAAAAGCCTTTGAAGCACAGAAACTTGAATGTTTGAAGTTTGGGAAGGAGCATACCAGGGGGCGCGATTCTGTCCAATGCGTTAATTTCATATGAGAACATCGGGCATGGATTGCATAGTTTGATGTTATACCGATCAAAACTTGGTTTACACGAAATCGATTTCCGTCCAAACACGCGCTTTTGAATGTCAAATGCCCTGCAAGTAATCAGGGAAATCTTCCTTTCAAAATCTGATAACTGGGAAATCGTCTGAATTCGCAAACTGGAGGACACTCGCCAGCTAAGATCGATTTTAAGAGAGTTGGGGATTGTGGCCATGACCTCGGATCAAGAGTTGGAATGGAAGCGCATTGTTTATGTCAGTATAGAGCGAAGTTTGAAACTAGTCTTACCCCTGTCTTGTAGATTTCCATTCAAAGAAGTGTATTAGAGCAGGAGGACTCAATTACAGGGCCTACCGAAGGAAGTTCAACGAGACATGTGTGAGAAGATGAGGATTCTAAGTCATAAATGAGATGATTTCTCAAGAGCTTGCATTGCTATAGGAATTTCGATCACAAAGTGTCTTGAAATTACGAAGTGTATTGCTTGATATTTAGATCATATACAAGATTTTAATGGGTGTGAAACATATATAAGATTGAAAGTACATGAGGTATGTCGGCAGGCAGGGCTGGTAAGAAATGAGGTCATCTCCGTGGAATAGCATGCACTTAAGACTCCACTTCACTCGAACTAAGCTGTTTGTCTGAAATTAAAATGATTTCCTATTTTCTGGCTTCTTTCAGTGACATCGGCTTAGTAATAGGAGTGTTTTATTCCTGCTCCTTGACACTCAAGAATAGAGAACATGAGGCCAAGATGATATTAGGCCAACGCTCGAGAGTTCATCGAACCATCAAACCCAAGTCAGAAGGTTGTAAATACTGAAATACATAATATAAGATAGAAAGAAAGACCATCAAGCGATCATGCCTGCACTTTCTTCTCTCGCCTAGTGTCAGATGACACTGCAATAGATTTTTGGAAGAGGGTACGACAACCCTTGCTATTCATTCAAAAGTGTATTTCTAGCCCTGCTATCATTCAAATGAATGAATAATAGTTGCCACTAAATGTTGCTGTACTGGGTATTGGCCACTTGAACTAACTCAGAAATATGCTAATACTTAAGCTTAACTCCTTCGCCTTCTCGCAAACGATGTCCTCTCCCATCTTTATCATAACAAAAATATCATCAATCTTGTCTCCATCAATTCAAATTCTCAAAGATATATCGGGATTATCAAATACGTTTAATCTTCACGATGCCTCCAGCCAAAAAGAGAAAGCTTGACCGAGAAGAAAAAGGACCAGAATCTCCAACCGTCCATACCTTCCACTTGCCTGGTCATAAAGTCGACGTTAAACTGAGTATTTTTGATGGACTGCAGCTCCATGTTCACTCGGTGATTTTGAAGCTCCATAGTGCTTTCTTCCGAAGGTTTCTAGATTCACCCGGCAAGGATGGTAAAGATGAAAACACTGGAAGTTTCAAATATGAATGGGCAACAGTCTACGACGATGATGGAAGCTGGAGTTTGTTTGACACCAGGAATATAAAAGTAGGTTTTTGGAATTTCATGAATGGATCAGCTGACTGACTTTTCACACGTAGCATGACAACCCAAGCTCAGATTTGATGCCGAAACAGATTAAACGTTCCCAAAAACTACATGAAGCAGCGTTCATAAACTTCATTGGGACGTTCTACGGGAAGTTATGGGTAATCAAAAATACCGAGGCTTTGCAGCTGGTCACCGAATTGGCCGATTATTATTGCGCTCTTCCAGCTGTTTCAAAATCGATGCATGGAGCCTTTTCCATAAGCCCTGAATTCTGCAAAGGAATTTTCTTTAGCAATAAATCGACTTTGCTCGATTTAGCATTGAAATTACGTTCTCCTGAGCTCTTTCGGGAATGCATGATATGCTTAGTTGGAAGGTGGCAAGACAGCACCCACGAATTTCCAATTGAAAGTCAACTTGAGATGCTGTATAACCCAAAACTTGCAAACCCGAAGCTAAACGAGTTAGCTATCAAGTTACATCGCCAAATATGTGTCAAAATATCTGCGGCGCAACGCAAAATTGTTTCCTGCTGTCAAGTCAACTCAAATGCTCTAGAAATCAAGGCCAAAGTCGAACAATGTTATCTCGAGAGAATAAAGTTGGGAGAGGGTGAACAAGGTGTCTACCGTGGCCAAGTTTCACTCCCTGAATATTTTCAGGCGTTTGGAGAAGAGTCTTCGGGAATTTTTGCGCTAGCTGTTAGTGACATATTGAAGAACGAACTTATCTTCAACAAGTCTCTACGGGCTGGGGATATTCTATTTCCTGCAAAGACACATGACGATGTTCAGTCATATTTTCTGTGTGCAGAGATTAAGGACGAAGATCTACCGGTAAGCAATTTTATCACTTCCTGAGGAGACTTTTAGTAGGCCCGTATAACCTTCTTTTGTCCGAGAACTGGGATGATGTTACATTTTGGAGGTATTTGATACACTAACATTATGATACTAGTGGGATCTCAACAAAACCGATTGGTGAGAAACGTTTTCGATAGGGCTGCAATCATGTTAAGAGTATCGCGCTGAAAGGCCCGATCGAGCTGGCTTTTCTGTTTTACGGCCGTGTTTGTACTGAGAATCACAAGGCCCGATCACAGTTTGCTCATTAAAGTGTTGATATTAGGTAGCTGTGCTCGCAAAAATCCATGACCTCTACACGCAGAGGCTTTCGCAGATTGTGATAGTTGTTAGATAATAGACAGGGGTGTTGCTTTTTTCACTGAATGCTTGCTCATACAAACGATCATGGAGCTCATACTCTTGTTAATTAAGACGAGAAAGCAATCAAAGATACAATTATGAAAAATAAGCCGCAAAAACAATTTGCGTGGTCGAAATGTACGCAAGCACTCTCCTGGTGCCCAAATCTGTATGAATGAAGATATCGGGACATTCGAATCTTGTTCAGATATCAATGACCAATCAAGTTTGTATGCTGATGACAGTCATGCTTGCAGGGTTGCGGTCTTCGCAAGCTTCTGTTGACTGTAGATGCTGGCTGCTGAAGTGCAAGTGATGATCAATTACTCAAGAAAGAAAGTTTTCGACGAATTAGACAGACAAGCATTGCAGACATCTTAAGACTAGACGATAGATAATTGATTGCTTTGGTATCAGATTCAATGTCATTTGATCTCCTTGCATCTACACGCCCGATGTTACAAATGAAGAGATATTTCCCTTGAAGACCCGAGAAATAAAAGAACATACGCTTATGTCCCCACATACACACATTGGTATTGGAATCACTTGCATTTTGGTGAATTTATATACTGCAAAATTTAAATAGTGAAATTGTTTTGGGAATGCGATCTTGTGTGTGGAGTGCCGTGAAAGGAAAGAAGTTAGACTATGTTGATATTTTTAGCAAAGGTTCAGAGAAATGGGAAGCCGTCTGCATTTACTCCCTTCGTGATCATGGTCCAAAACTCTGCTGCAGGGTATATACCATAACGCCGATATTCATAAGGGTAGCCTCCCTAGCAGAGGCACTGGTGGCATAAAATCCAGAGTCAGAAGCATGGAGGTGCAATTCTTCCTTACTGCTCTCTGACACGAGTAAATATATAGCGATGATTCTTCAATAACACCTAAAGCGATAATTAACACGAGTAGAATATGTAACATCCGAATCCGCAATCTGGGGAGGGGGGTGGGAGACAATTATTATTAATGAATGTCTACTGAACAATTAGAATAATACAGTAACTGAGAGGACACCTTATACGCCGGTGTTTAAAACAGGAGCCGTACGTCCCCGCCACGTCGGCTGAATTAGCGAAACTAGCGCCCCTAGATTTCTTACTGAATTTCCTCTTCCTCTTCTTCAAGACTCTTACTTTCAAACATTTCATACTCATAGTCTTTACTTCCGAATTCAAAAATCCTAGCAGCAGCGAATTCATACCATTATAATTCAACAACAGCAAATATGGATCAAACACATAGACTTTCCCCAAAGCTTAAGGTTTTCTCCCCTGTAATGGCAGAATCCGTGGTTAATGAATAAATCATTTCATCAATTGTATCAAAAATTTCAATAATTAATATTATATTGAAAAAATCGGTTATACAATATTAATATAATTGATTTTTATATATATATATGATTAGAAAGTTTTACTTTAAAAAGACTTAGAAAAAATTTCGAAAGATTTCGATCTTTCGAAATTTTTTGATTTTCGAAAATTTTAATCTAAGATTATTTAAAAATAAAAAAGTTTATTTATGTTGAATTCGATTACTAATCAATTATTAATTGTAATTATAAATATTAAAGTTGATTTATATTTTTATTTAAATAGTATATTTTATACTATATAATACAATAATAAAACTTTTAATTAAAGAATAATTTGAAAATAAAATAAAAGTAATCTATAAACAAATCTTCTTTTAAATTTTCGACTAATATCATTTCCTACCTTTTAACTTTTCTATTTATTTATTTTTTCCTTTAACTTTTATACTCACTCCCCTTCTTCTCTTAACTCCCCCACTCATTCCCCTCCTCCTTCTAGCTTCTACACTTGCTCCTCTCCCATCCACCTTTTCTAAAATCCTTTAACTAAAGGGTCTTTATTTTCTTTATATTTATTAAAATTCAATAATAAACAATTTTCATTTTGAACTGAAAAGATTTATAATTAATAAAATATGTATTTCATTAAGAACAAAAAAAGTTTGAATTTTGTAATATATATATTAAATATTAGTATAGGGATTTATACTGATATTTTTTTCGTACATAGATATTAACTTTGCCACCACAGGGCTCACTGCCCGATCAAACACCTGACACCAAATTTGTTCTGTTCGGTGAAACAGAAATTCACCTACATTCTACAGTTCTGAGACTGCACTCGGCATTCTTCCGAAAGTTTCTTGACTCTCCAGACAAAAAGCCTGCAGAGCCGTCAGCAGAATTCCGTTACGAATGGGTCAGTGAGATTGAGGAGGATGGCGAATGGCACATGGTTGAGAAATCCCACGCGGTAGGTTCACTAGATCTTCATGATTATTTAGGTTTGAATGACAACTAACCTTGACCATAATGCAGAAGCCAAATGATAATGTCTTGTCGGAAAATACAATCTGGGATATGGAGGTCCTGGTCTTCATTGAGATGCTCAACACACTATACCGTATTCCATATAAGATCTGGGTGGCCCGACTGTTCATTGTCACCAAAATGGCAGATTACTATTGTTGCCTTCCTGCAGTCTCACACAATCTCTTCGCTTGTTTCGATCAAAGCGATAACAAATATGTCGCAGAAAATGCCGTCCGCCTTCTTGATATTGCCTACAAGCTTCGTCAACCCCTTCTGTTCAAAGATTGCCTCATTTACGTTGCTGGTTATATGCCTCGGGACTCCGAAAATTCTCCTCATGTGTGCAACAGAGTGATCTTTGATGTCGTGATGATAGTACGTAATGAGATCAATCGACGAGTAGTTGAAGCCCAGCAACTTCTCATGCTATCCAAACCTAGCAAGGAACGTTCGAGACTTCTAGGCCATTGTTGGGAGATTGGCTTTGAGGAAACAAAAGGAAAACTGAGCTTGCCTCGCTACTTCAGAATTCTGGCGGAGCACGATAGCGAATTTGCCAGCATCTTGTCTAACGTGCTCCAATGCGAGTTACGTTTACCGGAAGAAATCAGTCACGAAGCGGGTGCCCGTTTTCTCAATGATATCAATAACTTTTATTGTGCAAGATTATTGGACAGCGATTTACCAGTACGTAACACCGATTCTCTTGATTCGAGCATATTTTTCTCTCAAAATACTGACGCATATCTACTTAGTGGGACCTCACTGAGACCGACTGGTAAACAACGCACATTGCTCATCTCAAAGGCATGTTGCGTGTACGTATCATCGATCCATCTAATTTTACTGCGGAGAACATATTTCAATCGTCACATCGAGGGCAATACCAATCAACAAATATACCGTAAGGTTACAGACGCGCAGTCTACAACAGAGCATTACTCTTCTATGATATCCTGCTATGGTATGTGGGAAAGGCAACAACAGTGCGCTCATTCCGCAGAGTGTCAACTCATTTGGCTGTTTACCGCGTATCTTAAGAAATGCCAAATATCGCGTACATAGTAGCTAGTCTAAATAGCAATACTAGATATTGTACCCTTTGAATGTTCTTCCGTAATTTTCTTCCGTTAATTGAGATTATAAACTGGAAGTATTACTTGAACTTGAGGTACATTGTTCCAGATGCACTCGCAAGTAGGCCGTGAGATAGGTATCCGCAGAGCAGATGCAGAGTTATGCCGATACTCTGTAGACATCTTGTGAATAGTTTGTATGATTTCTGCGTAGCTATGTCACAAAGTGACTTCTTTTTCATCTGGGTAGATCGAGTTCCTGAGAATGTTTGAAGAAACGTAGGATCTTAACAGTAGTATAAATTAGATAGATAGAATCAATCTTAACAATCTTAAATAATGATGCTGTCGAATACCTAGATTATAATAAAACGCAAACGAGAGATATTGTATATTGTATTAGTCATGTGATCTAATAGTGAATAAGGACTTGGATACGCGAGTACCAAAGAGGTCACCGCTGCCGCCATATCAACCACACCAATAAGGTTTTCGTTTTCAATTTCTCTTCGCCTTTTTTTCCAAAGATCAACCACCAAAGAACAAAAATGGCAGGAGATACTCTATCTGATGGAGGCTCAGCACCCCAAATGCAGATCAAGAAATATGTCGTCCTGGGCCAACTTCCAGATACCCGATTTCGTCTCTTTGGAAAGATTGAAATTCATGCCCATTCAATTCTACTCAAAATGCATTCTGCCTTCTTTCGAAAATTCATGGATTCTCCAGATAAGGTACCTTCAAAAGCTGGAGCGGCCTTTGTATATGAGTGGGTCGATGAGGTCGATGATGATGGTTCTGGATGGCATGTCGTTGCTGATAGTAATGTATGAGATTCAAATGACATGTACCCTCTTATACATAGTATAAATACTAACTGTGGTGATTCTAGAAAAAAAGTTCTACCAAATTATCGGAAGGCATTTCAGAGCCAGCGACAGAAGTCTTTGTCAGCATGCTTAATTGCATTTATCGCATACCATTTGGGATTAATTCAAAGCAATTGATTAAACTTACAAAACTTGCAGATTACTATCGTTGTTTACCAGCAGTGTCAAATAATTTGTATGCTTGTTTCTATATGAGCCCTAAATTTGATATTCGCAGAGCATGCAATCTCATCGAGTCGGCGTACAAACTTCGTCAGCCATTATTGTTCAGGGACTGTATTGTCTACATTGCTGGTACTATGCAACGAATGTTTCAGCCTCAGTCACTGTACCAGGACAAGAACTCCAGTATGCAACAGGCTCTGCAACAGGCACTGATGACTGTACGGAACAAAATCCTCGAAATTCATCTAGACGCCCAAGAAGCAGTGTATACAACGGCTGGTGAAAGTACTGAGTTGTTCGAGACGATGAAGGAGGTTAGCATCAAGCTAATGGAAGATGATTTCTTTCACCATCCACATTTCTGTAGGAAGCTGGCTGATCGGGAAGAGGAATTTTCAGAAGCCTTAAAGGAGGTGCTTTCCGGAAACTTGCAGCTGGACAGTTCAGCCGTGGCCGGAATCGGCGAGTACCGCAATAATTTTTTCTGCGCAAGTTTGAGCGACGAGGAACTACCAGTAAGCTTGCTTAAACTTTTACTCTCAATATTTCACCATCTTCACATCAATATTCATGACTTGTTTTATACTAATGTTAATGTTGTAGTGGGATACTACCGAAACCGACTGGTAGCTGTTTGTCACTCGGTCGCAATGATTGATCAAGATTCCTCCACACTTCCTCCCTTGACCTTTATACCCGTTAGATCTACTGCAACAATTGTTCATTCCAACCCTGAGCATCAAAAAATTCTATGGCACATAGTTTTCTTGGAGCCATTTATCAGCCAGCGGTTTCCTACAAGCGTTACATGAGTGGCCTTAGTACTCGGCGGTGGTGATGGTGGTGATTAAATAGATGAGGTCAATTTCGAAAGCTTCACATGTTTCATTTCGTTAATATGGGTTCGGGATAATCTGGTTCCAGCAGGCACCATAAAGCTTGCACTTACCTGTTCAACTTCCATTAAAGAGTCTTGATTCAATCTTTTTCTTCTCACTCGATGACCATATTTGTGAAGTTCCTTACCATCGTGAAAATACTCATGCATTTATTCCATGAATTGCATCAACCAAATAAGACGGGTAAGTTGATCAGTAGTCATACTCAAAGGCCTTCCTTGTGTGATATGTAGTCTGAATAGAAGTGATTATGTACCGCTTAACTCCAACTGCCAACTTAGTTAGTCTTGATTAACCTTAGATAGATACACACGCGGAGAAACCGAATAGTTCACTCAAACAATTTTTCTGATATACTTCACCCAAGGTATAGTTACTGGTTATAATTCTGATGTATTCAAACGCTGATCCCCTGCAGTGTAACCATAACAAGGCTCGCTGCACCTCTCGCATGTGCTAACGTATCATCAACACGTGATGTACCCAATGAGGATGGGTTTCCAAGGATTCCTCCGGACACCTGCATTTCCCCGCCTAACGACATCTCATCACTTTAGGGACTTTCATTCTTACCTTTGAATCTTCCTCATATCTTCATTTTTTCATTTTAGCTGGTGAAGTGAGATATTCAAGGTGTCGTTCTCAAACATTCATACCATATCCATACATCATCCAAGCTTGCGGGAATCTTTTGGAGCTGGAACGTCGCGCAACCGCGTCAAAATCAGCTCATCAGCTCTGGCCGACAATCTATGCTGTCTATTTAACTGTCTCGAATCACCTATCACCTACTATTCAAAGCGTACATCTAGTCAGACCCAAGCATGCCTTCTCCCCAAGTTGTGACATTTTCCTTACCGGGACAAAAGCCCGACACTCGGATCACCATTTTTCAGCTCAAAGAATTGCGAGTTCACTCTAGTATTCTGAAGCTATATTCCGCTTACTTCCGGAAGTTTATGGACTCTCCTGACAAGGAACCGGCTCCTTCCAGCGCAGCGTGGAAATATGATTGGACTGCAAAGGTTGAGGAAGATGGTAGCTGGTACGTTGTTGAAAGAAAAGGTCAAGAATTCAAGGTCAGTCTGATTTACTGGCAGCTTGACATATGGTAGTGAAGATGATAGATTGTTGAAAGGGTTTCGAACAAAGTCCTGTTTGCATGTGCAATCATGAGATTAACCTTACTGGAATCACCCCAGTGGATTGAATCCTTGAAATCATTTGTGTCTCCAAACACATTTCAGTCTTCCATTTATAATTTGTAATGTCGAAGAGGATCGCCGTATTGCAATATCTTCGACATGACTCCGAGAGTGTGCCATACATAGTTCAGACATTAACTGTGATTGTTATTTGTATCCACTATTCTGACACATGCTACAGAAGCAACGGGGTGCAACCAGTTGTGGTGATCTGGATATTATGGCCTTTGAAAATATCATCATGAGCATGTACCAAAAGCCTTACGAAATTACAAGCACAGAGCATCTGCAAGAGATTACAACCTCAGCCGATTTCTATCGTTGTCTACCCGTGGTATCAAATTCTCTCTACTCAGCTTTCTTCCGCAGCCCGGAGTTTCTTGCCAGGATAAAAGATCATAGGGAGATGTTGCTAGAATTGTCATGTAAACTAAGACATCGCGAACTTTTCAACGACTGTCTCGTTCTGATTTCTGGGTATTGGCCTCCCAACCAGCTACCATTCAAGACAACAATAGAGGATAAAAGACTTGCAAGGCTGGTCGAGAACTTACATAACCGAGTGGGAACAACCCTCGCGAGAATTATACAGAACGTACTTGTGAAAAAATCCGCGCTAGAAGCTGGAGACTTTCTGAAAGCTGCGGTATTAGGTTCCCAAGGCTCACTTGTAAGATACCACGTGAGACTGCAGAAATCTCTTCACCTCTCGGATATCCTAAACGATATCACCAAGAACAACCTCAAGTTGAATACTTCTGCAGTAGCTGGAGTGGGGGAATATATTCACAACTTTCTTTACATTGAATTGAAGGAGGAAGATATTCCTGTAAGTTTTGAGTGTTAACAGGCGTAAATCCCATATTCAAAAACAAGGCTGATCTGTTACTAGTGGGATACAACTGAGACCGACTGGTAAGACTGCAAGACTATGGGTAGGATTTCAATACTCTAAATTGTAGTCCGACCACGAAGTGTTCCTAGTCCTTGACTTTCGTCCACACAATGGAACCATCCTTACACCAAATGCATCCGGAATATTCAATTCACCTCATTCATCGAAGTTTTATTTCTCGTTTGCAACTTCTAAACAGCCGTTTCTCTTTCTTTCTTTTTTGGGTTAACACTTTCTATCCCGACCGTTGCAACTCTAGGCGTGGCCAAAGGCACAGGACTTGTAGCGACAATGCTCGATATTCCACACACGACTTTACGGTTAAATCATCTAAATCAAAAAATAAAGAAGACACACTGGTGGCTCAATGAATCCTGAATGCGCAACTCTTCATACTACAATAACAACACAATTTCATTAATTAACCAACTTCGCTAATTGGTAGCACCCCTCAGCGCCATCGCCCCCAGAACCATGACCTCTAATTCTTTCCTCTCATCCGCTTTGCTCTCGACTTTCCCATTCACACCATTCGCACCACCTTTCTTACCACCGCCACCGCCAGTGACATTCAACTTATAAAGTTTCTTCACTCTCGCAATATCCACCATACTCGCTAAAGACTCATCATCAAATGGAACAGGTTCGCCTTCAATTACCGACGAAAGATGTTCCGAGATTTGAGATGCGGAGGATGCGGGTGCTACCTTGACGACGAGGAGAGAAGTGGTGGTTGGGGTTATACCGAAGCGACGGAAAGATTCTGCGATCTTAAGGGGGTGTTAGTTTAATCGTTTGGGAATTTTGCTGAATGTGATAGCGATAGGAGTGATTAAAGTGCGCAATAAATCTCATTTCATATGATTCATTGTACCTTGAAACGTGACCATGTATCGATTGAGTGTGCATAAAAGAGAAGATGAATACAAAATAGGAGGGGGAAAGCAGAAGCGAACATACATTATTATTCATACTCAGTGAGAAAACAATCTCCGAATGAATATTTCGACTTTTTAATCTTTCTTCTAATGCATCATTTATTGCTCTATACGCTGCTGCTAAAATATGTAATTTCGAAAGTACCTATCCACCCCCAAATTTTGAAGTTAGTCACGTGATATTACAAAAATCAATCTGATGGTGGGGCAATGGAGGGGTAATGAGTAATTTGAGAGGGAGGAAAGAGGAAGGGAAAGAAGGAGAGAACGTACAACGCTCGCATCGATAAAGGCATATTCGAAATCTGTATTTCCGGTAAGAAGTTGTTGGTGGAGGAAAGAGGCGTTGGTGATGTTGCGGTATAAGGCGATGTGGAGGGTGTGCGATTCGGGGAGATGTTCTAGGGGGATGGTTTGGAGAAGTGCGGGCGCCATGGTTGGGGTTTGAGGCGTGGGATATGGAGGAGTTTCTGTTGTGATCTGGAGGAAGTGGGATTGGGGGTTTGTTGTTTGGTTGGCTGATATTTGATCTTGGTCGTAGGCGCATGGAGATGGTGAGTTTTCGTGATGTTACTGGGGAAATGTGATGAGTCACGTGATATTGACACATTCTGGAATTTGACACAGGCAATGGTGTTGTGATGGTTCTAGCTGGTGGCATTTTACTAGATCACCAGATGTACGAGAGAGATATAATAACTTTAATATTATGTCAATGATTTTCACAATTGTCTTATTTTCCACACGGCTTTTTATTGCTCGCTTTGTTACGACTGAGAAATTTGGCTTGGCTCAAGCTTAAGTTTCCAAATCTACGATTCATCGCGATGAGCAGAAGAACATTTTTGAGAAACCAAGGAAATCGTTGATATTTTTGTTTTAGCTCTCTGTTCTAACTTTCAAGAGAGAAGCATTTTCAATACGAAAATAGACGACTGCCGCAAATACATTGTAATTGGATGACTATCAACGAAGCGTTTCTTGGCTCAAAGGTTATTTTCGCGCTCCTCGCTAAAGATGGGTTTTTCCCATCCATACAGAATGCCCGGCGACCTTTCGAATCCCGATAGTTAAGGTCTTTCTCTTCTAAATTTGTTAGGAAAGATGACGGTTCCAGAACCAGCCAAGATCTTCCTTTGTGATACCTCAATCACAGGAGACCAATGTGCCAAGCCATTCCTGAGCTGATATCTTGAGACTCTCGTCGTTGTACTTTTTCAATGTTTGGGGATGCGGGGACAAAGAAAAAGCCACGTGTAAGCCATGTTTTTCAAATTGGCCCTATGGAATGAGGGGAGTGTCATTGCTTGGGGCTGGGTATTTCCCGGGAGATGTGTATTGGTTGAGGGGAAAGGGATAGAAAGGGAATTCGTGTAACGGGTGGCTGGTGGTGTTGCATCCCCGAGGGGTGGGGAGAGAGAGCACCAGACTCTGATATCGAGATTCAAGATATGGGATTGAGCATGTATTGTCGATCAGTGCCAGGGAGGGGAAGACATAGTTGATCTTCCCCGGTTCTTACAATAAGGTTGAGGTGATGCAAGGAGTTTAAACATTCTACCTGAACATTTCTATACGGTCTAGAATCAGAATCGAGCACGGCATTGGGAATGAGCTATAGAATTCTGTGAGGCGTTCCTGTGCAATTCGGAATATTTTCTGTTATTCGATGGGTAGGTGTGTTTAGCTTGAATACAAAAATGATAAAAAAGGGGGGCCTTTTGAGATATAAGACTACGGAAACATCCAGAATTCAGGGACAAAAAAGGAGAAAGGAGTTCAATCTTAGATTGATCGATCAATGATAAATGAGGAAGCTTTTGTTCCAAGGTTATTCTTATGATTCTAATCTCTCGAGAGAATAATATGCTTCTCCTCCTCCTCCTCTTTTAGTATATCGTTTTAGGACGACGTATGTAGAAGCTTTTGTTGTCCCTTAATCCTAAAGCTTGATACATCATTTTCTTTATTCTGGAAATAGAATACCTTAGCATTCATACGCATTATATCTTCGAACAAAGTGGATCTAGATGTTCTATCTATAACAACTATCAATTTTTCATCAATATATTTGACATATGTGTTCCCCTTCATGATAGATGGCCATCATATCTATCTTTACCTTTATGATACTGGCTACACGGATTTGATCTTCTCGTGTCATCGTCGTATGAGGGCTGTTCTTCATCTCTCTCCCGTATGTTGAGCCTTGGTTGATGAGTGGCACTGGAGGCTCAATTGTATCAACTGGTGAACTCTTTCATCACTTGAATGAAGGAGAAATCGATGCCTGGACTTCAAGGCCGAAACCTTATCCAATCCCTATCCAATCCCATCTCAATCGGTACTAGCGCCCAGAAGAAAGAACACAATCCAATTCCATTGGCTTTCGCCGTTCACAATGATATTTCATGGTGGACTCGGTGTACAATTGTCGCAATTCAATTCGCCTCATACTCCAAGTAATCACCAAGAGCGACTCAATCGACAATTTGATTTATTGAATCCTTATACCAATTCTTCATGGCAATTCCAAGGATCAGTATTAGGAGAATCCAATAGTTCCAAAGCATCGGCGGGCAATAGAATTGAGAACCGACAGAACCGACGGATTGGGTGTCCAACGGCTTCTTCCACCTCAGTACATAATACGGCGTTTTCCGGCGCATTAATTGCGACGATGCCTCCAAAACGAAATGCTTCAGGTGAACCAAATGGTTCCAATGCGCCGGTGGCCAAGCACATCAAATCGGAACAACATCCCGAGGAATTCTCAAATACTGTGAAGAAGAAGTTGTTGGCGTCAACGAGAACGGGTCAAGCTTGCGACCGTTGTAAGGTTAGTTAGCTAGTCAGTCCGTAGTGGGCAGTGGAAAGATGGGATGAACGATGATGTTGCGCGCTTTTGATATTGGCTCAATTGACTAATGATGATGATTGATTAATTATAGGTTCGTAAGATAAGATGCGATGGATTGGCAGGTGGCTGTTCGCCTTGTATTCAAAATCATAACGAATGTAAAACGACAGATAGAATCACAGGTCGTGCGACATCGCGGGGGTATGTCGAGGGAATTGAACAACAGAATCGAGATCTGCATCTTCGAATTCAGGAATTGGAGCATCGATTAATGCAAAGTGGCGCGGACATCAAACCTGCGAATGGTTATCAGGATTCAGCATCGGGACAATATGGGTATGGTCAATCGTCAAATGGCATGCAATCAACATGGAGTACGACCGGTCCAGCATATACATCACCAACATCAACCACGGCAAACAATGGCCAGCAGCAAGAAACTAATATGTTTCGCGCACTGCCTGCGTATCGCGCTGGGTGTATGGGTGATAATTATCTCGGAGTATCGCCTGGAAGTTCTCACTTGAGCGCAATCAAAGGGACGGCTTTGTCGATTTTGGGTATGGAGATTGATATTGCGGACTTTCGTTCAACAGATATGGACGAACCAGACCCTTCGATTTTCCATCCTCAACTATACAATAAATCATACCAGTCGTTTCTTCAATCGGCTTGGAATGTAAATCCCAGGATTGAAAAGGTTGAATTGCCAGCACGTTCAGAGGCTATCATCTATGCGGAATGGTATTTTCGTGTTATTAACCCCTATTGTCCTCTACTCCATAGAGGTACTTTTATGAGACTGGTATGTGTACTATAGTCGAGACATAAGTTTCTTTGGCTAACAATATAGTTATCTCGCATGTATGATGATCCTACATTTCGCCCTACCACTGCTGAGAATGTCATTGTCCATATGCTCTTCGCCATTATGTTCTTTCAGTATGCGACCAGAAATTGGGAAGATGCGGAACAGCAGGCCAGTTTGAATTCTCAATCAAATACGCATTACCATTACTGTCTTGGCATGTTTTATCAATTGGCATGCAGTCACACGGCACAGGATGTTCAAGCATTGGCTTTAATCTGCTTGCATCTTCGAAACTTTCCTAAACCCGGGGCCAGTTGGGTGCTTGCAAGAATGGCAATGACTCTTGCGATTGAGCTTGGACTTCACCGATCTATGAAGAGATGGGCACCTGAATCAAACACGCTTAGTGAACTCGATATCGAAATGCGCCGACGAACATTTTGGGTCATCCTTGCTGTCAATGTTACTCTGAGCGGCAAGCTTGGCCGTCCAATGCCCCTTCGAAATGAAGATTACGACGTTGAATGCCCATCACAAATTGATGATGATTACATTCCTGGCGAGGGCATAGATCCACCTAATCCCATAAAATGTAACCATGAGATTGGAATCCAAGGTTTCAAACTTATACCATGTTATTTGGAGCTTTATTCAACAATCTATTCGATATCTCGTCAGCCGAGTACCTATATTGCGACTGTCAACAGATTGGAAGCAAAGATTCGGGCTTGGAAAGATGACTTACCCCCAGAGCTTGTGAATGGAGAGTTGGGACATAATGAACAAGAAGGACGAGTATTTGCTCTTTATGCTCAATCTTGGTCTCAAGAGTTTCGTCTTCTTCTTCGCCATCCATCAGTTTCTATGACCACAGATCCAGACTTCAATGCGGAGAGTATGAGAATTTGTGTAGAGTCTTCTCGGCAAATGTTAGGAGTTGTTCGCCAACTGCAGAAGTACAAGAGTCTTGATACGACTTGGTACAATACCTCGGTTTTTGTTATGGCACTCACTACTACACTTTTTGCGCAATGGGAGAAACGAGGAGGGACTTCATCGGCTGATTTGGCTGCATTGAGGGAAGAGATGGACATTTGGTTGGACATTATGGGTGACATAGGGTCGCTTCTTGGTAAGTGATATATCATTTGAATTGAATCTAGTTATTAATTGATGCTAGGTTCCGGAACACGGCTCAAGAAAGCTGTGCAAGTTGTCACTGATGGGACGCTCGGATTACTAAGTCGAAATCTACCTGCTAAGAATGACAAGAGCTACACTTCGAATAATAATGGTCAGGAAGAAGTTAGATCTTCGGAGCAAACATCGAATACCAATGGGACTAATGGTTACTCGGTGACTGCTCAAAACTATAATTATAATGAACCAACTTCTGCTACGGGGAGTGCGCCTGCACCTAACTACTCACCCACCGAAGGTCAAATGTCTCATCAACAAACACCATATCCAGCTGCAACGCAATATTCACCATATCTTGAATCGACCTCTAATACTTCTGATTTGACATATGCGCAACCCGAGAATCAAGGCTATGGAGGGTATTCAGCCCCAACTAGTGATTCTGTAGAAGCACCATTAATTGCTGCGCTAGCTGCTCAGGCAACTCAGGTCGCCCCCAATACATGGCACAGAAATTCGACTCAGGTCAACACAGCGCCAACACAAGCCTGGCAACATTGGGCATCTACCGTCACAGGTAACCTTGAGCCACAGGAATGTTACTCGGCAAGCGCTCTAATGCAATTAGGAGGAAGGGATATGAGTAATGGTGACACAACACAATTGAATACATCGATGGGCGATGTTCAAAGCGGAGGAGTCGGTGAGCCTGGTCATTTGGGTGGCCAAGTTTCGGGAGCTATCGCTGGTGCCCCCACTTGGCCGCTTAATCTTTTTGATATTGGTGTGAATG